GTTCCACTTAGTCTGAAGCTCAGACTGGCTGTTGACAAAGCGCGACACCCAGTTCTTGCCTACAGGTGGAGGAGGTGGATCTTGGCCGCGGGCTGCGAGTAGAGCGTCTGCCATGCGTCGTACATCAATTATATAGGGTGGAAAGCCTCGTCGATTAAGGTCTAGGATCCACTGCACGAGAGACTGCTCTTCAGTAGTTGATAGCTTTCGGTTGACAGAGACTATCTCTGATCGCGGGTGGACACCACGGAGACGCGTCCGGAGAGTAGATTCTGGTACGTCATACGCTCTCGCGAGGGCTCGGATTGATTGGCATGGTTTATTCTGATAGGAGACCATCGCGAGACTTAGTCTACCTTCACGAGATGTCACCTTAGGCCGTGGTTGTTGAGTCATGGTCGTTGGCGCAGATAGAGTTGTGAGGATTTGGTGGGGTGCGCAGCTTACTGGGGTGCGCAGCTTACTAGTGGAACACAGTAAAAGCAATATAACTGCTTATAAAGAGTGTGGCTTTGCAGATTCCTCTAACGTAATTGGTGTTACAAAATCATCCCTGGGCACTAACCAGCACCCCTGCCAGTGCTCCACCTTGAATACTTAACCACCAGACCAAGTAATCGGTCGCGCCCAGCGCACTCAACCGGTGCAGATTAACTATCAGTACTAAAACCCTATTGTATTTATCGGGTATTGGGACGCCTGGATTGGGCAGGATGCAGCTTTCTCCCCCAGTGCAGCCCAGTTTGAAATGGAAGAAGAATGGGTCCTGGAAAGAAGGTTCAACGGCCTACTAGGCCTGTGCGGGTTAGCGGGGGGCAGCGCGCTAGCCACAACAGCCTTAGCCGCCGCACCCGTCGAATCCTCGTCACACTATCTACTTGTATGTATATCCTGCTCTGTTCTACATGTATGCTGCCTCTTCTGTATACTGCTAGTTACACCAGCTATTCGAATGCGTAGTGTATATAGCCGGTTTCCGTAGACATGGCCGTTTATCCTCCAGTCTCAGCCCTCCTGCAATCCCAGCCCGTCGCGATCCTCCTGCTGCTAGCGCCGCAATTTTCATGCACAGGACAACTGCGCCGCGTCGCAAGGAACGCCACACCTGCTACATATCCCGGCGCCCATGCCCCGCCAGAGTTGCCAGCACGTAGAAGCCTTTGTCCTCGTCCGCGTCCCCGTCCCCAGCCATTCCTTGCTTTGTTCGGCGAAAAGGCAGTCGAAAAGGCCAGACACGATAAGCTTTGACGCATCACCCCACCCACCCACAAACTCTCTGTTGCATCCCAGCGCCTCGCCCTAGTCCTGTTTGCGTTAGGCTCACACCCCAAGCCCTTACCGAGAGTGCTGCCTTCAGCACACTCGTAACCCACGGTTGAACATTCAATCATTTCCAACACAACCGACCCACCAGACATGTCAGTCCCAAGTGAATTCAGCCGCTTTGCGGCCCAGATGCACAGCTTTCGCCAATCTGACGAGGCACGAGAGCATTTTGTTAGCGTACGTCCGCCATGTCCCTCCGCGGCATGGCCCTGTCGCCTTGTCGTCACCCCCCTCACTCCATCCCCTTCTTTCTTTGACTGATATCGTAGCAAACAGGAAATTCTAGGAAAATACCAGGCCTTGACCGAAGAGCACACCAACCTGCATAATGACTACCTCAGTGAACGAGACAACCGGAGAAACTATCAGAGGCTCGCCGAAGAGCGACAGGCTCAGGTGGTCGAGTTCGAACGTTAGCTGGTGAGTTGTCCGTGCAGATGTCGTCAGCCATGTGCTGTAATTTTCTCACCCACTTATCAGGAAGCGAGTTCCTTTGTCTTGGCACTTATAGATGGAGACGGCGCTATTGTGAGTACTAGTCACTTTCAATTCTCGATATACTTGCTCGACTATTTTGGAGCCGACCAAGCTGCCCATTTCTGCCTGCACACCGCTTGTTCTTGCATCTACTCGACACCAGGCCTGACACTGCACGCATAGTTTCAAGATGCTCTACTTCAGGCTGCTAGTGGCGATGGAGGATCAGAGGCTGCTTCTCGCCTGTACCATGCCCTCCACGACCACATTGCCTCGCTGTACCCCAACGCGGGCAAATGGCCCATTATGGCCCACGTCTATCTAAGTCTTGATAAGCTTGCAACAAAGCTTACTTCGGTAGGCCTTCAGCGCTCTTCAATGGAACTGCGAACTTTTGCACAGCGCTTCAGTTTGAATCAGCCCTTATTTAGTATTATCGATGTTGGCCAAGGCAAAGAAAGAGCCGACCACAAGATTAAGGGTATGGTCTCCAATCCCAGTGTGTATCATCTATGCTGACCAGCCGTGAATAGAAATGCTTCGTACCTTTAGCGACAATCCTTCCTGCCGGCATATCATTTTCGGCGGATGTCACGACGCAGGCTATCTTTTAAACTTTGAACATTTCAAGCATAATGTGACCAAAGCTAGCCAAATTACCCTTCTTGAAACTACGCCGGCATACCGGGGCTTCAACGATCTTGTCCATTTCAAACGCGCTCGCTTCGATAATGTCTTTAGGACTGAGCAGCTGCCTGAAAACGCTCGCTCAATCAACATGCCTGTTCAAGCAGTGTCACAGCCCGTAGTGCAACATACGCCTCGCTCCATGACTAGCAATGCCAATACTTCGTCTCCAACGCCCACAAGAGCATCCATGGCCTCACCTGCGCCCAGCACGGCTGGGTCGTCCACGCCTATCGAATCGCATGGCGATTCATGGGGTAAGTACACAAGCTGCGAGTATGCTTTGTGCGGCTCATATGCAACCCTGAGCTATCGCTATTATACAGGCATCGCCTGGTACTCTTATAAGAGAGAAGAAAATGACAATGCTGACGCGTATACCATAGCTGCTGTAGGCAAGAGTAGCACCCCTGCAAACGGCAACATCTCGATAGCACCCAATGCTGCTAAGAAGAATATTAAGAAGAAATTTGCCTACTATAACAAAGACGAGCAGAGGCTTGACGAGCCACTTCCTCTCAAGGACCCCGCAGGCGCACATGCGCTCGAGGCGCGTATGAAGAAGCTGGGCAAGAACATGTGCAACAATTGGTATGTAGTGTCATGTTGTGAGTTGGCGGGGGCCAGTTGATGACTGACATGATACACAGGCATCTCGGTTCGCATTGTGAGAATGGAAACTTTTGCCCCTTCCAGCACGAGCCAAGGCTTCCGCCGGGCGAACTGAATGCTTTGCGGCACAAGGCACGCAGTCTGGCTTGCAAAAGCAGGTACTGTGAGGATGTCGGTTGTTGTAAGTACATGAAGGCATGGACCACAAGCCACTCGAATAACTTATAGTCGTCTTGTCAAAGGTGCTGACAGGTGGATGCCAGATTTGGGACACCAATGTTCTTATGAGCGCGACCAAGGCTTTTGTCCCTTTGGTGACAAATGTGAGTAGAGTCCACCACGTGCACGGGCAGCACTAAATCGACGCCTCTAGGTCACCTTCGGCAAGCGCACGGCATGGATAGGGTCAAGTATTGCAGATACGACATGGAGGGTAATGTAACGTATGCTCCTTGAAAGAGTCGAGCAAGAAGCATGGTGGAGCCCGGAGGTTTGGAGAACAGGCATGTGTCTGGCAGATAGCGTATCTATAAGGGGTAAATTGTTAATGGGTTTAATTGTCTAAGCTAACCTTCAAGCCATGTATTGATGGCGCAGCCTATCTTGATGTAACGTAGCAGAAGTATTGGTCGTTGACATCGTGCACTAGCCACTCGGGCTTTCGGCCAAGTGCTCCACTCAAAGGAATATGACATGAGAAACCATGTATACAGAGCCGGACCGCAGAGACGGCTCAAGTCATTGTTATTACCGCACTATATTTTCGGTCCATGCAGCACTACCGGGACAAGTCAGCCGCGGCAATGGATGTCGGCAGTAAGACCGGAAGTTCTTCGCTCGACACATGGCAAGACTGGTCTTAAGCGGGCGTGCTTCCATGAAGACTTGCCGCGACATGTAGTCTGTCTTGCACCCCATCTTCGCACCCCGTTTTTGTTCCCCATTCACTGTGCCTTTTTGCATCCCATCCTACGCCATGCCATTCCTGCACGGCGAGCATCCCAAGATTCTCATTGCCGGCGCCGGCATCGGCGGTCTGGCCACGGCGCTAGCTCTGCACTCGGCTGGCTTCAACGACATCCACATCTTTGAAGCGTCGTCGACTCTCACCACACTCGGAGTCGGCATCAATGTCCAGCCCTCGGCGGTGCTAATACTGCGGAATCTGGGCCTCCTGGAAGCCTTGGAGAAAACAGGCATCAAGACGCAAGAGCTGAACTTTTACAACCGCCATGGAGACGCCATCATCAGCGAGCCAAGGGGCTTGCACGCCGGGTATGCCGTGCCGCAGTTCTCCATCCACCGAGGCGACTTCCAGATGCTGCTTTTGAGCGCCGTCAAGGAGCGACTGGGCGACCATGTGCTCCATCTTAACCATGCGCTCACCAACTTTGACCAAAACGACAAGAGCGTCACGGCGCACTTTTCGCGACGAAGAGACGGAGAGCCAGCCGACCTGGCGAGTGTAACGGGCGATGTTCTCATTGCCGCAGACGGCATCAACTCGACAGCGCGCAAGCTCCTGTACCCCAACGAGGGCCCGCCCCGATTCTCTGGGCGCATGCTCTGGCGCGGATGCATAGAACGCGACGCGTATCTCACGGGCGCAAGCATGGTGTGGGCAGGCCACGCCGACCAGAAATTCATCGCGTACCCCATTAGCCAGCGCGCGGCGGACCGAGGCAAGAGCCTCGTCAACTGGATAGCAGAGCTAAGGATCCGAGACAAGGACGACACGGACCTGAGGCCGCCCAAGACGGACTGGACCAAATCCGTCAGCAAGGACGTCTTCGCAGGCCCCTTTGCCTCGTGGCGCTGCGGCGGCCTGGAAATGATGGACCTGATCAACAGCACCGACAAGGTGTTTGAATTCCCCATGTCGGATCGCGATCCCGTCGAAGCATGGTCATTTGGGCGCCTCACGCTGCTGGGCGACGCCGCACACGCCATGTACCCAATTGGCTCCAACGGCGCGTCGCAAGCCATCATCGACGCAGAGTCGCTAGCCAAGCACCTCGCGGCCAACTCATCCGACGTCCAGGCCGCGCTGAAAGCCTACGAGCAAGAGCGTCTCCCGCCCACGGCCAAAATCGTAATGGCCAACCGTGCAAACGGCCCAGACCACGTGCTGCAGCTGGCGGAGGAAAGGGCTCCAGACGGCTTCACCAACGTCTACGATGTTATCCCCAAAGATGAACTCGAGGGCATTGGGAGCGCATACAAGCGTATCGCGGGCTTTGAAATCGAGAGCGTAAATGAAAAGGCGAAAGCTACCGAGGACATGCATGTGGGTAAGAGACTTAAGAGCCCGAGTGATTGGATATAAAAAGTAGCTTGCAACAAGGCAATGATGGCATGTACAAATACGAGGAACATGTGTAGACAAAGCTGGGGGTTTTTTTTTCAGGAGAGGGGGGTTTTTGTTTGGCCACACTGTTAAATATGTGGGAATGGGATGGTTGCTTGAAAATGCTACATATGTATGGTATTTGGGGGGGGGGAGGGGGGAGTGCGTGAGAAATCAAAAAAGAGAAGGGGACTTGGACTTGGACTTGTACTTGGAAGGGGGAAGAATGATACTTAAGTCGCATTATAAAGATTTCGGTTTGTTGTAGTGGGTTCTCTCTGATTTCCTAGAGTGTGTTTGCCTTGCTGTGTTCTAGTATATGTGATTGCTAGACTTGACGACACTTTTTTTCCCCCTAAACCCTGATATCAGACCCCCCCCCCTTTTTTCCCCACTTCTTTATCCCATCTCATCCAGCGTATCTCATCTCATATCAACACCCCTATTCCCCTCCTTCTCAAACCGCAGCCCCCTCCTCCTCTCCCCGCTCACGATAAAACGCCGCGCGCCAAAACGCAATCTCCTTTTGCTTCTCATCCAGCAGCTCCTGGAAGCTCTGATCCACACCAGGTACAAAGTGGCTATTCAGCCGCATCCGGATTGTATCTCTCAGCTCCGCATTGTGCCCTTCGAGATGCTGGATGCGCGCGAGCAGCGCGCTGTTCGAGGCCGTGGCTGTGTGTAGCTGCGTTTGCGTTTTGGCGTCGGTTTCGCGTTTCTGTGTGACGAGGTGGTGTAAGATTTCTTCTTCTTCTTCTTCTTCGTCGTCGTGGTCATCGGTGGTGGTGCTCATGGCGGCGTCACTGTTTAGGTTTTTGCCGAGGAGAAGTTCTAGCATGGCGGTTCTGGTTGAAATACCTTGTTTTAAACGCTGGGTTTCGCGCTGGGTTTGCTCAAGGTCCGATAGCACTGAGTAGGCTCTGTCTTTCCAGTCCTGGTACAGTTTCTGCTGCGTTTGGGGATTTGCGCTGCGAGGGCGGGGGATGAGGAGATGTGGTTTGAGGAGGAGGACCAGGAGCAGGAGGAGTAGTGTGGTGGAGGTGAGGGCTAGGAGAGATGGGAGGAGCCAGCTGGTGGATGACCAGGTGGCTGTGGGTGTTGTTGGATGGGTGTCCGTTGAATTATCAGGCGGCGGGGTGAATGTATGGTTCTGCTCTGGTACTGCGGTCGTGTTGGTGTAGTATGTCCAAGTCACGCATGGTGTTGCGGGGTCGATGGGAAAGTGTGTCCATTTTGTAAGCCAGTGTCGATCAGTGACGGTGGAGACGGATGTGACTTGTTCTGTGACGGTATTGTACAGGGTACGCGCAACGGTTTTGGTGGTAGTTCTCGTTAGCATAGTTGGCTTGGGGCGTATAGCATTAGTCTGGGCTATTGCAGTCTCGGAACCATAGGCAGACTGAAACCGTTCCGGTAGCAATTTTCGCTGTACGACTGCATCGAAACAGTCGCGAAGGGGCCAGAGATGGAGTATCAGCTCAAGGCCAAATGCAAGAAATAGATCGTTCTTAAGCGCGAGCTGGGCAAGTTCTGACATGATGTCTTGTGGTGTCGTCGGACTCTTGGTGGAATGCTGGTGGAAAAGTATATGGAGCATGGCGCGCTGTTCAAAGGCTTTGTGGGCGACATGACAAAGGTTCTTCTAGACGCTCTACAAAGAAATGCGCAGAACATAATGGGGGTTTCCTGAACAATGGTTGAAGTGATTGGATACCGGACAATGAGAGGACCGATGCACATGTAGCGAATAAGAGTCAAGTGAATGTGAGCAGTCCAAGGCGCGTATTCCCATCGAGGCTGCTGTGTGCATTGTGGTAGTCTCCTCCTTCACCAAGCCTTCATATGTCGTATGTGAGTCTTCCAAGTGTCATGGCCGTAGAACGATTCAGGATCAGACCAAAATTCATGGGCACGGGTTGTGCCTATTGCGATCGGCAGCCCGAGCTGACGATGGCAGTGAGGGGTCCAAACAAGGGATTGGATCGATTTTCCCCGTGGCCAACATGCTGTAAGCGCGGCATGCAACGAGCGAAGGTATTGATTTTCGGAAGGCCGAGAGACCATGTATATGATTCCAAAAGCCGGCAGAGGAATGCATTCTCGCATGAGGCGTCGGTTGGTGGCGTTTCCACCCTTATGCGATGTACACGCACAAGTCGGCCTGGCTTGACTCGGCGAGTATCGAAGTGAGGTGCATGTGAGGAGAAAGTCTACACCGATGATTTGACGGTGGCAGCGGTTATCAAGGCCAAGTAAGTCTTGGAGTGCTCGACGTTGGCTCGGAAAGTTTCTCCGCACTTTGCTGCTAGTCCCGCCCTGAGCTAGCGCTGAATCGCCCATGTGCATCGTCACTCATGGGGAACATCACACGAAACCACCTGCCACGCTGCACCATGACGGCAGCCCTGGGGATGCCTCCGGGCTTTTCGCAACACCGCCGACGCTGTACATACACCCAGACATGAAGTCCTCGCTTCTGTTGCCATCCCTGAGCAGCACCCGCTGCCGCCGTGTGTCCTGGGCCTATCAACTCCAGTACACCCAGCCGCGGGACGATTGACTCTACGGCTCCGCTGCCTCTCCGTGCGGCTCACGCCATCTCCGCAGTGCTGGCTCCGAGCTGGAGAGTTCCCATTATCATATTCGACCTTATCATGCCCAGCCATAGGGTTCGGGCAGCCCCAACTCGCCCGTCCACATCGCATATTGCTTGCCTAATTGGGGTATGCTAACCCGCCCACCAAAAATTCGCTCCACAACGGCACTGTGCTTCCGACTTGAACAGACGCTGACATGGTAGCAGAGCATGTCGCCCGCTGCTCCGGCCTCAGAGCCTCCCTAGTCTGGGGTAAGGCGAAGCTGGTGCTTGTCGCCGTTTTACTCCACTTCTGTCTGGTGAATCCGCGGCCCTGCTGCATGAGCGTCTGGATAGGTGCCCTTGACACGGCCGGCTTATCACCAAGATAGCCTGTCCCCAATCTTCAGGAGATTGGCCTGCCTAAAAGGACGTACCGAGCTGCTACGGCTTAGCCGCATACCCGACACTGGGGACGTACTAAAGAGCTGGGGAACACGAGACCGCGGCTATTTTTCGGTTGGCCTTGCATCTCATTACCACCTGTTGCTCTTCTGTACTTACTTTCCTCCCTCCCCATGCTCATGCGCTATCCGTATCCCAACATGGCACCAACCGCTTCCGCAATCACAGTGTTGCCCACGCTGACCCAAAGTGGTGCGCGGGTTGCTCTGCAAGCAGCAGAACAACATGCGATTGAGGTTGGCGTTCCAATGTACGACCCCTCTTTTCCACAAACACATGATCATGGCAGCGTTGTTTGTGCTGACTTGCTACCAGGAGCATCGCAGTGGTCGATGCACACACCCATCTGCTGTCTTTTACGCGAATGGACGGTGCCAAAATAACCTCAATAAACACCGCCATGGACATGGTAAGTCATATATGTGCGAAAGAGCATGCGAGTCATGTACTAATACCACATCTTCGCCCTGTAGGCTTTTACCGCTGCTGGGAACCGCATTCCCACCTCCGCGTACCAAGAGACACCATGGCCTGGCAGCGCAACATCTGGCATTGGCAATAACATCTCGGGGCGTTTCACCACACTTGGCGGCGGTGTGCCTATCCTGTCAGTAGAAGGAGACATACTCGGTGCGATTGGTTGTTCAACGGGCACGAGCATGCAAGACGAGGCCGCAGCGAAAGCAGGGCGAGATGCAGTGCTTGAACTCATTAGGAAAGAGAAGGAAGCTGAAGAGGCGAGGCTGCATGAGGAGAGGCAAGCCGTACTTGCGCTATGGAAAGAGAAGGAAGAGGAAGTTGGCAGTCTAAGAGAAGAGCTCGAGGGCATGGACCGCAGCAGTAAGAGGATGCGATTCGATGGCGGACGGTCCGGCAGCGCGAGCGTGGCTGGAAGTCTAGCAGGGAGGAGCATGAGTGCACAGGGCGGGCTGGCACCCGACACGCCGCCTGAAGAAGGCGAACTACATCCCAGTTTTGTGGGCGAGGTTTCCGTCGGGCGATATTAAGCGATATCCTTTTGTTGCAAAGCATTTGGCGTTCAGGGCGATCACGAGACCACGATATCACGATTCTGTTTCGCGAGGAGTTGCAGGCGTTTTCTTCATTCAACCGGATCCTGTTCCTATGTACCACGGGGGAGGGGTAAAATACATAATGTGTCTTGAAGTCGATAAATTGGGAGGCTATCTGAAATTCGCACAGCAACAATCAATCAAATTCGCAACACATTCATACATGGCCATTATGGCGATTGCCACATCGATTCCTTTTCTTCTTATTCTACTCTGTTAGCCTCACGTGCCGCATCTCCGTATCGAGAACCCTTTTTGACCCTTTCTCTTCCCCCACCCCGGCCTTGAATTTCCAACCCGCCAAGCTAACCCTGGTCCGCCCGTTCCTTTGCATTCGTGATAAAAAGCGGGCCTCGCATACCACCTCTACGTGGCAATCTTTCTGCGCCCTTCCTACATCGGTGCTGACAATCCAGCTTCCTCCAGAAAGTCGGCTCAAACACTCTCCTGTTGCAAACAACCCGTTTCCTCCAGCCCAGCTCCACGCATATACATACATTCCATTTCCGCACCGCCCGTCCGCCCAGTGATGCACGACATGGATCCATCGCTTGCTTGTTAGCGACAGCACGGCAAGTCCAAGTTTGTAACGGGGGGAATTCGGGGCGGCCCCAGCCCATCTGCAGGCAAATCATGCACCTAGAATCCAATTGGGGATGCTGAGCGCCCTCGCTCCCCCCACGCACGTGAAAAGGAAATTTTCAAGCACCTGTCAGCCCATGTCTGCATTATGTACCCGCGTAGTGGCAGGCTGTGTTACGGCCGTGGATGTGCGATATCCGGGGGTTTTTTTGGAGGGGGAGGGGGGGGCTTGTGGGAGGAGAGCTTGAGGCTTGGTTGATGTGTGAGGGGAAAGGTAAGAGGGTGTGTATGTGCACCTAGGTGTTGTTTGTATTGCTAGCTACGTACATGGCGGTCTTGGATTTTTGTAGGCGTGTCATATGACTCTGAATCTTGACAAGAGGGACAATTGGGTTGGGTGAAGCTGAGGAAGGGTGCTTGGTTGTGAAGCCAGTATGTAGCGTCTCGTGGAACTCGTGTATGGCGTGGCTGTGTACCTGTGTCCGCGGAAGTTCTCTTTGTATCTTGATAGTCGTATGCGTCTGATAAGCCTGTTTTTTTTTCTCTTCTAATCATATGTCGTTTACAATGCTGGAAAAGCTGTTTGTTTTACTTTCCCTGTCGTCTTTCTTCACGCGATTGCACTGGAACCAGTTCAACCTATCTTGCATATTACATTATCGTTTCGTTATTTGTTTTACTTCTAGTATACCAATAGCTACAACACTCAGTACTGTGTTTGAGAAAAAAAAAGGCGACGCTGAGGATTCGTTGAGTATCAGAAAGCACCATTCAGGGCTTGTCCATAAGTGAATGCGTAGGCTTTGTAAACTTCCTCATCGACCTCCGTTTCGCTTGATGTAGGGCAGAAACTCACAATCCGAACGTCGAGTCCAAGCTCCATCCATGCTTGAGGATGGAAATCCCTTCTTTTCTTCCAGCATGGAAGCTTACCTATTGGTGGAAAAATTGCGTTGTGGCCATGTGCAGCGTGTGCGACACGACGTACTACGACTATATGAGGCTGTTCTGTGTTCGACGTGAGCTGTGTTTCTGGCAATCTAGCCAATTTAGGTGTAGAGTACGCGGCTGTTACTGACGTAGCTGTCTAGTTGGGTCCGTGCGAGTTGAAGTATAGTGCGACTGCCAAGGAGTGCCTTGGTGGAGTTGATTGAGCTACGTACTGTATTGTTTGCCATTTCACGGCAGTTTTCCGACCATGGTATGATTGATTCTAATAGTGCTCCTCCGAACCTTTTTTAAGCAATTGTAGTATGCGATCGTAGCTCCAATATGCGTATTGAGGGGATTGTGATACAATATCCAAGCAACTAGGTCGATGGAAAATCCTAAACAGAGCTTCCCTGGTGGACAAGATGCGGGTTGAGTTTTTTTTTCACCAGCTGAGCGATTCAAAATGATTTTGTAATACGTCGTAGGGCACATGAGAAAGAAAGAAAGCCCATGCAAGGTCATCGTCGTGGATAACACATCACTAAGCTGTATTGTTGAAACAACAGCGAGAACCAACTTCGTTCAAAACCACGACATTGCCACCAATATCTTACCATGCATACGCCATACCTGAACCAATTTCCTAGATATTATGCATCAAGCTTTTGCTTCAGCAAGCCGAGAAGCTACGCATCAACCATCCACATCTCCCATGCCCACCCCCCACCAAAGAGCTGGCCAATTCTCCTTGCATCCTTCCTCCTCTCACGTTTCATTTCGAGAACTACCATTGTCCCCTCCCACCATGTCCTTATGCAAAACAAACGACTGGTCATCCTTTACTTAATTTCGCCCGTATAGCCTGAAACCCAGCGCCTATCTCCCGGTCCAACCCCAGCAGTTTATATCCAACCCAGCAACCAGAACTTCTCGGTTAAAGCCCCCCCCTTCTTCCCTGCACACCATGTACAGAGGTGGAGACGTGGGGTCCGAGTGTCCAGTGTTTAAAAGTTAAAAAAAAGTGAGATTGGTTCGTCGTCGTTATCGCTGTTGCTGTTGTTGTTTTTTTCGTCGCAGGGGCTGCATCTAGCTCGCTTCGCTGTTCCAAAGATATCATCTTTAGTGTTACTTAGCACACCAAAAAAGCATTGGGGGCGTGCCTTGGGAGGAAAGACGGATGATCAATTTTTATTTTTGGGTACATTGTGAATTCCGGTATCGAGCCGTGGGAAAGATTGAGAGAAAGAGATTTTCGCTAGATAAAAATAATGTCTGAGTATTCTTGTCAGCGTGCATGCATGTATGTATGCACGCGCGCACGCATGCACAGACTCTGGCACAGGGAAAAAGCGATCGACGCGGTATTTGCTTTTGGCGGTGCAATATCCGTCCTCTATTCGGACTTCAGCTGGGCGTTTTCTTTTATTAGAGGCTGTGCTGCGATGAGCGCGAATTGGGGGGCGAAGGAGCTTAAATTATCACACGAACAAGACATGGAGCTTTGGTGGTTCACGTCGGAAGCATGCAAAGGGCTAAAAAAATTTTGAGCATGTGCGAAAAAAACAGATCCATTTCATTTCGTTCCAAATCGTAATCCATCGTGAGAAAAGAATAACGTCGTCAGTTGTGTCTATCCACACCAAAATCCCCCAAAAAAAACACCCACCCGTGTACCCTAAGTATGTATCTTGAGAAGCGAAAATTTTAAAACGAGTGCAATGCATCACAGATGCTTGTCCACCAGCCTCATAATAAGCTTAACCCTCAAGGTCAACAGCAACGCGTCCAGCGATGCTCCTCTTGAGAGCAGTCTCTCCAGAGCAGATGGTCATGTAAAGGTCGACGTTGGATCCCACAGAGGTAGGGCAGTCGAAGACGGGCTCCTTGATGCCAAGAGTGAGGAGAGGCTGAGGGACATAGTAGGCCTGGGTGGGGCAGTAGCTGCCGGCCTGGCAGTCGATGGTGCCGCAACCAGAAGAGCTGCCGTGCATGGCAACGCCTTCGGCATGTCCAGGGCACGATGTGGCGGACTCGCCGTTGGCACAGTTGACGAAAGAGATGTCGTACCAGATCTTGCCGCCAGCAATGGTGTACTCGAACTGGGTCTGCTCTCCGTTGACAATGGTGTCAGTCTTGGAGATCTTGAGCGAGGTGCCAGTTTGGTAGAAGGCTTCGGTGTACTGAGTGCGAGCCGGAATGCGAGTCATTGCAGTTTCGTGGTTTCCGCCAACAGACGTAACCCAGACGTCGTAGGAGCAGAGGTTGGAGACGATGGAGTTACCAGCGAAAGCCAGGCCAGCCTGAAGGGCCACGAAGAGGGCAGTCTTGGAGAACATGGTGGTCGTTGCGTGACGTCGAGTCGGTATGTTTGGAAACAGTTATTTGTTTTTTTTTGGCGTAAAAGCGGACGTGATTTGCTCAAAAGAATATCCTTGCTTGGATCAAAACGGGCTCAATGAGTGCAAAAGTGATCTTCAGTTGACGAGGGAATGTGGGTTTCTTTTGCAGGGAATGTGATGAAGCTGTCAAAGCCTCAATAAAGAGAGAATATGTGCCGAGCGCGACCGAAAAGAGCGAATAAGCTGGCGTGGAGCAGTGTGTAGATCGCAAGTAAGCATGGGGTGTAAGTTGTGCTTTATAGTTTATGTCCACGGCCAAATCGGCGGAACAAAGACTGGTTCAAGCCCCCAATACTCATCCCTACGCCTTAGGCAGCGCCGCATATTACATGAAACATTGCATACAGAAAAAGAAAAACGTCGCCCAAGTCCGGCGATAGCGGCAGTGTTTTCGCCCTGCAGCAGTCTTCTCAGCGCTTGGAAATGGCAAGTGGAGAAGGAATACAGGCTCCGGTTGGTCAGGTACGTGGCTAGGCGGCACTTAGCCTAAGCGTATGATGTAACAGTATGCCTGGGTCTAGAATTGCTGGATCCGTATTTGTTGGGCATGCTTTTTCTTTCATGGTACCTTTGAGCTGGTGCCGCGAACTAACAGGCACGCCCTTTGCAAAAGGAGGTGGAATGTCGGCCGCATAGGCTTACACTGACGCTGACACAGCTTCTCGAATGTCATTGTCGTCGTGTCGAGTCAGTCTTGTGGCGAATGAACTTGTGGTCTGGGTATGCTGAATCGGTGGGCATGCCGAGCAGTCCATGGGCTAGGCAGTCAGCACATGCATCGACCGGTCAGTCGTGGGCCAGCTGCATGCCATGTGTAAGTATTACAGCTAGCAGCAAACCTAGAAGTGTCTAGGTCGTCATGTAAAGATAACAATCGGCGACGGTGTAGGGTCGGGAGGGAGCCATTGGCCGGAAGAGAAAATGGGATTTCTACCGTGGGCAGAATGGGACAAGGGCTAGAGCCACCTAGACATGCCCACGTTGCTGGCGGTGGGATGACGGTGAACTGGAGGCGGAAAATTGCCACGTACCTGACAGCAGCCGTTGGTGGTGCAGGGCAGGATGCGTGAACGCGTCTCCGGGTACCTGGCGCGGCGCCGAGACGCTAGCCCGAATGCGACATGCCGCCCACCTTGTTGACGAAGACCTGAATTTTTTTTCTTCGCACCTCTCTCCACCTCTGCACTCTGCCCTTGTCGCTTTCCACTACTTGCTTGCTGGCCGGCGCCACATGGGCGCGTCCTGCCCGCCATTGTTGGGGGCCTAGACGCCGTGGCACGATTCCTCAGCTCTTGATAAGACTGCATCTGCAGCGGCAGCGGCAGCAGCATGACCCCACCATCCGGCGACTGCTCACACACGACGGCTGGCCAGGTGGATGAACAGAAGAGATTTTCCGGGGCATGTGTCCCGAGCCCGAGACCTACTCCACGCGTCATAGTGTGCTAGTTGGGCCAGTGTAAACGACGGGCTGCCCTTGGCTTTGATCAGACTGGATGACACCGCCAACGGGAGACGCGGAAACATGCAAACCTTGAAGCTTTGAAACACTGCGGCCTGGTCCGATTTGCAGGTGGGCTAGGAACACAGCAACCTGCCAATCAGGTCGGCATGCAGCCGCAGCCGCAGCAGCTGGTCCACCATGATGCCACCCAAAGTGCGCCACCTCGGTCAGCTATCTAATCGATAGGAGCTTTTCTTCTCCGCGTTTGATCTCCCTTGGTGTTTCGGCAGTCAACGGCGCTGGCTGCGTCAGCTTCGCGCATGTACGCAATCAGCCTGGCTATGGTGGAGGAAACGAAGGCACAGTCGTGGCATCTGTGGCGGGCAAAGGGTCCTAACAAAGAAATCTGACAAAGGAACATTGGGTTTGACAGGGCCGACGAACACGACGCATCGCGCAACCACTGCTACACGCGTCCACGTCTTTATAACGGATTTGTAAGAGAAGAAGAAGAATAATTTTACAGCAGCCGTTGTGGACCGGCAAAGGAGGGGTAGAGTATGTACACCTAATGTAAAAGACGGGTTTCTGACCCGGCCTCGCATCATGGTGCACTGGACGCGCAAGATATGGGGCCTCGGGTGTGTCTAGACTACGACATGACGTTTCGCATGGTCTCACACGGCCTGAAGCACGGCAGGCATTCGGTGCTTCATGGGGGCTCGATCGAGAGTGAGGAAACAGGCCAGTAATGAGGTAAGAGATTAGACAGGGCTCAGGCACGCTCCCACCATACCTCATTAACAGCCACGGAAATTTCGCGACACCTAGCCGTGTGGGCAGCCTCGGGTCGAGAAATGACGTTGAATTTTCATCTCGGCCCTTTGGATGATTTGCCTGCGATGCGGCTACTTTGCCGTTCCGGGATAGCAATGTATACCTAATATGACAACTGACGAGAGACCGACTTGATTATCCCAATGCGGATGTCTCCGCATGTCATGCTTGCGACGCTCTGCATCAGGAGTGGATCGTGAGCGCCAGCAAGCGCTCGCGGACCGTGGCGGATGGCGTTGCGACCACCAGATGCACAACCTTGGCGAAAAGATGCTGCTACTATACTATATGGCGGGGAACGCCTTGCATGTTTCCCCTCCTCCATGGTTGGGCATCCGAACCGAGATCTCCATATTTCGTATGATTTACTGTTTCACAACGAGGCTCTCCCGTCTGCGGTTTTTCCAGTCAGGCCCACTTTGACAAGCCACCCGACCAGGTCTCGACCACAACTTTCTTATCCAGCTCCGATGGAGATTTGGAGGGGGGGTTGGGCACAGACAGCAAGACGATCTCGAGCGACAGCAGTACTACATGGACGGTCGACGGGGGCCAGAAAGATGCTGCGGCGCAGTGGCTGTGGGCACGACAAACAGCCACATTGCACCCAGACTTGCACAAAGAGGTTGCTCAGCAGCCACCACGCCGACGTGTATTACGGCGAGCTAAGAAAATATCTGAAACACAGCCTGGTACGAACACCCCTACCCGCCACGACACACGTGCGCACTTGCAAGCATGTTAGCGTTTAGCCGCTCCCAGCTAGCCTGAGGGCTGGAAGGCCGTGGCGGGCGTTTTATGAGAAGCCCAATGCGCCAGTCCAATCGCTGTCGGTCGTTACCCCTGACACATGTCATGTCCCCGCCTAGGAAACACAGCGAGGGCGAAGCGCTCAGAGAAAGCGACGAGTGCATCATAACGCAGCACTTGGTGATTGTGGGACGCGAGATGTGCGGTTATCGCTACAAGGCGCTTCATCCATCCCCACGCTGTGGGTGTATCAGCCAATGCTGCTGGCCGCCGCTGCGGAATCCCAAACCCCGGCCAACCGTGAGCCCTTCACGCCCAGGGGGGAAGATGATAAAATGAAAGGATCCGAGCGTCCTACCAAGAGGTTGGCATCAGATGCTCGCCTAACAAGCTCTAGCTCCAGGCATTAGCAAATCTGCGGAGGACGGGGCCGTGTGCGGACTTACCTGCGATGGCGCTTGTTTTCATTTCCAGGCCCATATCCGCTGCACAGCGCCCGTTCGCGACTTAGCGTCACATTGTATAAATGTAGTGTGTCCCCTCGTTTAAAGGAGCCCTTCCTTTGATACCCCAGGTCTGCGACTTCCAGGTTCCGACGTCATTCTTTCACTCTTTATACACTGTCAATCTTTGACACCACGCTCTCTACCGCCCTTCGGCATCAAATCGCTTTCTCAGCAAACTTGAAATCAATAAAAACTCGATCGTCGAACCTTCCCGTCCAGTTCAATTTCACCGAATATCAAACAAGAAAAATCCAACAAGATGCGCTCCGCCCTCGCCTTCACCATTGCCGCCCTTGCTGGCTCGGCGCTCGCCGCCCCTGCGTACGGTGGCTACCCTGCCGGCGGCGACAACGTTCAACTTGACGTTGTTGTTGAGACTGTTATGCACACCGTCTACGTTGTCGAAGGCCAGCCCAAGCCCACAACCACCAGCTGCAGCGAATCTACTCCCACCCCCAGCCCTTCGGCTCCTCCCGCCAACCCTCCTGCCGCCTATGAGGCAGTCAAGCCCTCTCCCAGCCCGGTCTACCAGGCTCCTCCTCCTCCTCCCCCAGTCCAGCCTTCGTCGAGCCCGAGCCCGACGCCTACTCCTGCTCCCGCCCCATCTCCCAGCCCATCGCCAGTTCCTCAGGCTCCCAGCGCAGACAGCTACATGGGCATTGTCGCTGAGTGGCGCCAAAAGCTCGGCCTCAAGGCCCTTGAACAGTCTGACCTGCTCGAGTCTAACGCCCACAAGGTCGTTGTTGACGGCAACGGTGTTATGAGGCACGAGCTTAACCCTGGCACCTACGGCCAGGTCCTTGCCCCCGGTGAGGACACTCTCGAGGGCTTCAAGAAGGTCTTCGTTGGTGGCTGGCTCTGCGAAATCCCCACCCTCCCCGGTCTCAACGGTGTCTGCGAGGCCATGTCGGAAGGCTGGGCGTACGAGGGCCAGACTGGCCACGCCGAGATCCTCACCAACCCCACCTACAGCAAGATTGGTTGCAACAACCTCAAGGGCATCTGGTGCTGCGATCTCGCCTAAGCAGCATGATGATGAGCATCATGAGGGAACCAAAAGGGGATGTGCATTTTCGCTTGGGTGGCTTTCGATTCTCTTTTCTTATGTGGCAGGGCGGCTTGGAGACCAACATCAGTACGTGATGCGTATACACTACAATGCGCTGGTTCGAACTATATTTCGCTTCTCCTTTGTATCTCTACATGGTACTAGAAATCCCTTTACATTCCCTGTTCACTTTTCAGGTGCCGTAGCGTTGTTTTCTCTGTCTATCTATCTACCGCGAATCACAGATCTACGAATTCACGAGCCAACTCCCCCCCCTTGTCCCATTTTGCCTGCGTGTATATTTTGAGTGTGCATGCAGCTTACATGGGTGTGTCTGTGTACCAGTCTACCAGCGGTTTAGTAGGATTCTCGCCATGACGCTGACTCGCGCTATCCCTTAGCGTCTGCCCTGCAGCCAATTAGTTGGAGTTTCGCAGCTCAATCGCCAAATGTCTTCGCCCTCCCTTCCCCCCCCTCGAACCAGCCAACTAGCTAACCAACTAACGATTAAAAGACGCAAATTTAGGCTTGTGTCAGTGGGACTGTTGCGCCACAAACGACGATCTTACTCCCCATGTGCTGGGTGTGACACACGAGCAACCAGAAGACCAAGACGAGCAGCAAGGAATAAACGGGGAGCGCCGCCCATGACGGAGGGGGGAGAGGGCCGTGTGTGACGAAAGAACAGCACGGGTGACAAGGCTGACAGGAAGAGCAAAAGAAAGAAGAGAAAGAAAAAAAAAGAAACATCAGCATACGAGAGAGGCGGCTGCGGAGATGACGCCTGCGGGCTGGCAACCACTCGCTCGTCGCCGTCGCTCGCCGCCGCACCGCACCGCACAGCACAGCACACAGACAGACACAGACAGCCGGGCGAATACGAAAGGGCCCCCATCCATGCTGTGTGCCTGCCAAGCGCTGCGTGTTCCTGGCTAATAACTTACTCGCGCTGCCGCGCCGCTTCGTCACCCGTTCTTCACCATGTCGAGCTAGTCTGGGAACAGCCCCCCCCCTGCCCCTCTCTTCTCTTTGTCCGTCTCTCTCTCTGGCCCCCCTCTCCTGTCAAGAAAAAATATCTGGGCCGCTGGTACCTGCGCCGCCGCCACCGCCGCCGTCGTAGTGGTCGTTTAGCCCCCCTTAGGCTTCCCCCCTACGCCTACATACCTTTTGCATTATGCGCGCAGGACGATGCAGAGCGTTTTTTTTCTCGCTCGTCTACTTCTCGATCCCCAATGATTGAATAATGCGACAAAAGGGGGCCGTTGAGGGGGCGAAGGGGTGGAAAAGGCGACGTTTTAGATGATCAGAATAAAGTTCTCCGACACGCCCTGTTTTTCTTTGCCCGAAAGGGGGGGGGCGGTGTTTGAGAAGGGAAGGCTGGTGACGATATCATCGACGACGACAGACAGCGATGATGACGACGACCGGCGGCTGGCGGCGACGATGATGAGGCAAGAGGGGAGCCGTGTGTGCATGTGTGTATGTGCAGATGGGCAACGTGCGGGTAACATCGTTACTGCATCTGTGGCGTCGTAACGTTAACTCGTTGAGAAGCGATAAAATACGGCTTTTCCCTTTCAGCCGCCCGCGCGCGCAAATCATTCGGCAGCATGTGTGTGTGTGTGCCGTCGTCACAAAAAAAACGGCATTTACACACATGCGCAACCTTTTCCCTTTTCCCGTTTGTTTTTTTTACCCAACGTATGCAAGACTTGGTCCACCTATGCCGCTGCCGCTCCCCCCATCTAACGCCTTTGCCGAACGTCCCGAGATTCTCGCGCCAGCGGCCGCCGGGAAGGGGAGGGCAGAAGGAATGGCAAAAAAAAGAGGAAAGAGGGCGGCGGCCGCCGGCGACATGGCCTTTGTCTCCCCGAGAGACAGAACACGAGGCTGAGTGGAACGGCATGGACACTTTACCACGCCTAGTCTAGCACTTTCTCCCAGAGTGTTTCAATACTTTCCTCCCGCCAGATTCCCATGGGCAGCCATATGTGATGACATTGCAGTCAGGGAGGCATTATCAACAAGTCCTGTGTATTATTGCCAGGGACAACGTGGCTAGGCAAACATGTGGTTGTCGATAATGGGGGAAGGGAAGGGGGAGGGGGGGTTTGGTGGATGCGCACATCGTAATCTCCTTTGCTATCTCAGGCCCACCGCCGCCGCCGCCGCCGCCAACGGCATTGAGGTTGCCATGTTGCGGGTTCGGTGATTTTGCGGCCAGCCCTAATCGAGAGAGAGAGAGAGAGAGAGAGAGAGAGAGAGAGAGCGCCCACCTTGCAACCACGTCAAGGGCAAGGTTCTGGAACCCGTGTTGGTGGGGGAAAAAAAAGAGAAGGAAGGGGAAGCCTTACTTACATACTACCTTGTCATGCTTCCCTCCCCCCGGTGTGGGTCATCCACCGTTGCTCGTGGGCGCGGGTGGGGAATGATTTGTCCTCTGGGTGTTCGTGCGTCCTGTCCATCCGTCTGTCTGTCGGGCGGAGAGAGGCTTAACAGGCTCAGTTAAGGTGTTGCTCCCGAAACTCACAGTCATGTCCAACAAGACCTTGTCCCGCGGGAGGGGGGGGTTGCGCTGCCGGGCTGTCCTAGCGCCTTGGGCCGTTCTGGCACTGGCAAAGTCATTGCTTGCTAATGCCTTACTTAGCAACGAGTCTTGCGGATGTGCTACGTAGCGAAACTATTTGGAAAGCCCGGGTCGACCGTGAGTCGTATAGTGCCCATGTTTGTAGTGTGGGTGGCATTGCTAGTGCAAATGCACTACTTAGATATATACATACATGCATACATTCATACATACACCGTACACCGTATGTATGTCTACTTTACTTAGATATGCCTGCTGCTCGTGCTTTTGAGAAAAGGCCACCCCGGGCACGCGCTATGAATAGGTACTCAGGCGATGTTCTGGGCTTGCACGCCCGCCTCACGGGGCCCCTACGTCTTGCCTGTTAAGCGCCGAACTCGGTATCGGAGGATTTGCGCGGACGGTGAAGGGTGAGCGAGGGGGGGAGGGGGGGGCTTGATTTGCTCTGTCCAAGCGCGCGCCCAACGTTGTCAGCCACGTTCCCGCTAAGTACAGTAAAGTACTTTCGCTGAGGCGCTATCATCCATGTAAAAAAGAACCACACGAGCCCCTCGGTGTGCCCCCGTTTGCGTCCAGCCAAAATAATAGGTAGGGATCTAGCCCGTCCGATTTTCCCACTGCTCGATGATCGCGAACATCAAGAGTCCCATTCGTGCCCACTACCCGTACTGTTAGTACTGTGTGTCTGCCTCTTTTCCAGCCCGGCATAGACCTCATGGAGGTGTGAGATGGACGTCTCTTAATACGATAATGCACCGCGACCGTACCGAGACCGCTCCAACGCGCCTTTCCTCAAACAACTCTGTGGATGCTGGCAAAGTCTCCTGAGGAAGCGCGCTCCAGACCATCTGGAGTATGGTTTTGGCACAAGTGCTTAGTCTAGTATATCTAGCCTGTTTTTCTGCGGCGGCGGTGAGAGAGAGCTCCCTCTTGCGATTCGCGACAATTAGGAATCCCAGCCGGGGCGGGAGTGGTAGGCACGTGACATGAGTGAATCGGGGAGAGGGGGGTGGCTTAGTCTTCTTCTCTTTTCGTCCTTCAAAGCAGGTCTCTCCATGTAAGAAAGAAAGAAAAAAAACGAGTCATTGAAAGCACTGGACGTGATAAGGACCACATCGAAAAACGTCATTCAACGAAACAAAGACAGATTAAAATCACCGGTCGGGCATACATGGCTATCGAGCGCCAGTCATGGCATCATAACAACGGGCTTACTATCACCCCCATTCCGCATGTGGAGTCGCTCAAAGAGACAGGAGAAAGAAGAGGGGGGGGGGAATAGACAGCGGTTCCTGTCATGAACAGAGTGTGCTAAGTACTTGCTAGTAAAAGTAGGTATCCAAGTAAGTAAGTAAGTAAGTGAGTAAGTAAGCAGTCAACAAAAAAAGTCGCGGCGCCTTCTTCTTCTTCTCCACCACCACCACACGGACCCTCCGATGTTATGCCATCACCGCAAAAGAAAACACCGCTGTATATCACTAGCTTAGTTTAGCTTGGGCGAATAGTGAGTTATCTACATTATGTATCGTTCGGCTATATTACCTGTTCGTTTCTGGATTAGGCGGGTGTGTGCGACTATTCTTGCTTCCTGTTCTTACCTGATATAGTGGTAGCGGAAGAAGGGGGGTGACACAGTAGGGGGGGAGACTATCACTCGCTATTATCGGGAGTTATGTGCTTACCGAGACAGGAAACTGTTACGAGAAGCGCTGGCTGTGTGGTATGGGGCTTGAACGTTTTTCTTTTTCTTTGTGCTGTATTGTGTTGTGTGTGGCGAGTTCAAAGTCGTAGTAGATACGGATACGGTTTCAGTGTTTCTCGCTCTCTCTGTATGTGTAACCGACTATTATTGGAAACATGGGGAGTGGGTGAGGGAGGAGAATAAACATTCCTGGCTTTGCGTGTTTACCGGAGGGATGGGGGGTTTGAAACGACGCGCTTATGTGTGCACTTTTGTCGTGCCAGTGTCGGATGCGCAAACTTTGTTCCTTGACAGGTGGATAGTGCCAAGACAATAACAACAACGAAAGTGTGACGTAGACGAGACTCAGTGCTAAGTATTCCGAGTTTCGTGTAGTCTGAGAAATGCGGTGCTGGGAAAAGGTTGAAAATATGATGGTGGTGGTGGTTGCGCCGCTGGTAAAACCCACACGCTCAACACTATCACATGCAAGGACCCGACCATTCTAACCATAACAACAGCATACCTACACCACGACCTCTCTTTCTTTGATGAAACCCAAACTTGATAACTATGAAGATAATAATGAAAAATACATACTCTGTAACCCCGCCACAGCCAATAGCAACACTCTCCCCCTCGTCGCGAGAGTACCGTGATATCAGCAAGTAGACCAACAAGGTACTACCATCACTACCACTACCACACACTCGCACACACTCGCACACACTCGCACACACAAATCCCAATATTGATGACGAGGGAAAATAAAAAACAGAAAAGCAGCTATTTCTCCCACAGCGATTCGGAATATCTTCCTACCACCACGCAACACAAACACCATGTCTCATGAATCCGTCTGGTACTCGCGCCCACGCACCTACGGCAAGGGGTCTCGAGGCTGGTAAGTTTTTCTTTCTCTTGCAATGCAGCGCAGTGCAGTACAATAAATCATCCTTTTTCTCTTCTCTACTTCCCATGTACAATTCCACTATTCATAACCACAAAGACAACAATTCAACCCCCCCCCCCGCTCCCCTCTTATTTCATATTCACCGCATTCCCTTTCTACCACCCACATCCTCTCTCCGACCCTATTATCCTTCGTTTCTGTCCCGCATCAAAACAACAAAAATTGAAAAGGGAGAGAGAGAGGGGGGTTTTTTTGGCTAACACAAAGATTGCAATACACAGTGTCGTTACAGGCGACAAGAAGAAATCCGGCATCATACGCAAATACGGGCTCAATATGAGTCGGCAGGCGTTCCGCGAGAAGGCGCAGGATATCGGGTTTGTCAAGGTACGTTTTTTTTCTTCTTCTTTTTATCTATAGTAAAATCTGTCATTGGGGTGGTTTTTGTTTGGGCTTTGTTTGTAATTCAGGGAAAGAGGAGAGGGAGATGCTTATTTAAAAGCGGATATATGCGATTGGAGGGGGAAAGCGGAGAGACGAGAGACATGGTCATGGGCTAATGATTCAACGACGCAGTACCGATAGATTCGCGTTTTTCTCGAGAAAGGTTAAATGGCGAAGAATAGGTGTCACGAATGTTATGCACGTCCGCTCGTGGAGGAAGGAACAGGTGCTGGCCGGAGTGGAGGAGACGGCATAACAGGACATGTGAGAAGAGAGATGGCGACTAGGAAACGAAAACAAGTCATGGCATGTACTTGAGAAAAGCAAAATGAGTCTCTTTTTCGTGATTCTATGGGGATCCTCTCTGTCTTGCATGTGAAGAGAGGGGCTATCGGTGTGTATGCATGCCCCCCTTTCAGACTACACTCTCTATCCATGTTTTATTCCTGAATGAACACATGTCTTCGATATATATATCTGAACTTCCCTTTTAGTCTCACGCATGAACTGCGTCGCCGTCGTTGTAGATGCCAGAGTCAGAATGAGAGATTCCAGGCTCAAGGTAATGCGATTAAAATTCCACGACATGGCAACTGCTGTTCTCCTTCTTCAGGTCGCCAACAGTGCGGAATTCGCGAAGAGGACCGGTCGGTTAGTCAGACCGACGGGTTGCTGGATAGTTGGCGTCGTTTTGATCTCAACAACATCCGGCGTGACGACGTCTTCCTTTTTCTTATCCATCTGCGCAACCGACTTGACCATGCTGAAGTCGCCTGAGACGCCGCTTGGCCCCTCGTACATGTCGTAGAAGGGGAGGCCGTGTTCTTTGTACGTCTCGACGTCTAGCGGCTTCGTGGGGGGATCTTCGCCAGTGACTTCCTTGTAGACGGCTGAGTTGAGAATCTGCACGTTGAAGACGGTGGTGCGCTGGCTCTGCCATGCCTCGCCCAGTTGGTCGCGGACGATGCTCTGTTTGATCTTTCCGCCAGCGGCAATGGCCATCTGTCGTGCCGGACAGAACCCTCCTCCGCGCAGTTTAAGAATCAGATGGATCGTAGAGTCCTAGATTAATACATCAGCGTGTACTTGGTTTTTTTCCAAATGAATTGTTCATACCTGGGAAACGTTGAAGTATGCAAGCGCGAGATCATCTGATGCTCTTGTTAATCAAATTTCCGTCTTTTGCGCACCATTTGTGACAAACCTTGCATCTGGGCGCCCATGAAAACCAGTTTCTGCTGGTCCGGAGGTATTCCCTCTTTGTCTTGAATACGGCGTTTGATGAGCTCGATAGTATCGGTTCCCTCTACGCACACTTTGATCCTCTTTCCAGTGAGTGAATTTACCCAGATAGTATAGATTCCCTGGGTACATGAGGGGTCCGCAACACTGGGCTTCAAAACACTCCCAGACACGTGCTTGTGCAGAGACGGGGCGGGACGTGGTTCGTATGGCGTAATCTCAAACTGAATGCCACCAGCAGCGTCTTTGCCCGTAATCTGCGACTCAACCGAGTGCCCGCTACCAAAAGGCATGGCCACGAACTGGCGAATGGTGCCGTTGGAGTCCGCGATGCCATCCAGCCACTTCTGGCCCGGCACAACGATATAGTCTTGAAGTGACGAAGCACCAGAGTTTTCGCCCTTGTCTTTCGCGAGCCGGGCCTGGCGCCGCAGCTCGGTACCCGCATCCTCGACTGCAGGTTCCCCGGAAATAGCATTAATACAACCGACATAGATCTTGATCATGTAGTCCTGACTGCCGCCGCACTCAAAGTTGATCCACATGGCCTCAGACTCTGTAGGCTGAATTAGTAGATCCCAGTGACATATTGAAGCATCCGCACTTACGGTACATGGGGAAGAATACGCCGCCTTTGATGGTCATGTCTGACGGCATCTTCTCGCCGTAGTCTGCAACCGCCTTGAGAGGGTATGCACCCAAGTCTGGCGGGAGGTAAGACACCTGGTGGTTGTCCGGCACTCGGATGGTACGTCGAAATGAGATGCGAAGATCACCATTAACAATGATCTCGCTGCCGGATAGCTTGCAACTCAGTGGCTTGCTGAGCATGGTTGTAGGATGTGAAAGCGAGTTGTTGTTGATGTGGTTTGGGGGCGAGTGTATGAGAAAAATGGAAGGCAGGAATAAATAGTGTACGAGTCAAAACAAGCGCCTCACGGTGAGACCGGTACGGAGTGAAGGGAACCTAAAAGGACTATGCAAACGGTGTTGAGCAAACAGGTGAAAGGAACGAAGGCTACCAGAGACCTCGTGTAACCAGAGTTAACGCACCAAGGGTCACCGACACAGCAATACGATATGAAAACACCGTTGATCAAGTTAACAATCAAAAGGCTTACTGATTATATGCTTTCAACCCACGCTATGCAATAAACGTACGTATACACACTGAATCCACCCCCAAAACTCATGCAAGTCCCCTCCGCTCTTCTTCAACCAGTTTTAAACTCTTCTCGCAATCACCACAGTACCCCTTGACCCATTCTTCTACCTGTTTTTCCTTGCCCTTTCTAGCTGCACCTTCCAATAGCATTCCGACCTTGCTACACTTGTGGGTTTCATCAAGCAGCCAGTTCTCGTATTCTGCCTCTACCACCTCCTTCTCAATGCGGTTGATGACGCGCAGTGCGACGAGCAGGTCGTGGCGGTGCGAGCCGAGCTTCTGGCGAGTACGATGGAGACGCTGTGTGCTGTGTGTTGAGGGTTTGTAGAAGGTTTGTGTCGGGCTTGTCGCATACGGATCGTGGAGGAGTGTGGTAAATGTTTGGTGGCTGTGCAAAGTTAGTCGGGTTCAGACGGTGAAAAGGTGTAATCGTACCATCGGTTGTCAGTGCTGGGAACAGGCGCTGACAGTTTGATGCTTGTAGCATTCGTGTGTAGGAATGACTCCTCAATGTCACGAATATAGATGGAGCGTGTCATTGTGGTCGATGGCCCAACTCCCAATCGCGCCATGTAGTTGGCAGCGCCTCGCTCATGCCACCAGGTCCAGCCGTCTCTCGACGTGTAGAAGAAATTAACACCGCCGCTGAACAGCAAAAGACCAAAGAGCAGAGTGTGCGCCGAAATCACCTTGCCAAGCCCAGCACATATTGCTAGTATCCAGCTCATAACAGTCGAGACTATGCTGATGACAATATTGCCAATGTACTGCGCAATAAACGATCCAGTGGTCTGAGGCTGTAACTTGAACTTGCGAGGTCTATTGGGTGGCGGGATGTCCTGCACATCCAGCTGCAAAGCTTGGGTTTGCGTGCCAATCTGGCCGAAGATGCTGATGACTTTATTCGTGGTTCTGTTGTGGCCAAGTCTTGCAATCTGATCGTTGACCACATCCACCAGATCTTGCGCCTCAAGCTCGATGTCCTGCAAGGCTTGACGCTCAATGAGTTTCTTTGCAAAGCGCGGGTTGCGTTTCCAGTCGACCTTTGTATGAACAGCAAGCTTGCACCGCGCTTTGGAGACATGCGTGACGACAATCTTGCTCACAAGTACGAAGCGCTCGTGGCCAGGCAGATACCAGGGCGTCTTCCGGTCAGACACGACGTAACAGAGGTGGTCGTTTAGCACTTCTATGACCTGGTAGTCGTTTATGACGATTGCATCTTTCTTTCCTGGCTGCGCAATCTCATACTCAAAGTCCCTTCGCTGAAGGCTGTTTTCGCTTGCAGTCCATGGACCCTGCACAACACGCGTTGCGCTTCGTTCGCGATATAGCAGCTGGAAGACTGCGCTCTTGTCACCGAAGAGAATGTGGAACAACCCCTTTGCGCTGATGTCGTACTCCCGCTCCACAGCGACTTGCGTCATGCCAGCAGGAGAAAAGACTACAGCCTGATTCGGCAACTTGAACTTAGTGGCGCTCCTACTCACAGTGGCACCAGGTGGTCCAAACAAGTTGCCGTCGATGCGCAGACTGGCCTTCAAATTCCTGCCAATATATGCTGGATCCATGGGCGTGTCTGGAGAAACATCCTCCCAACCTTCTTCACCCGCTGAATATTGGCTCTCATCTGATTCAAACTTGATCAGAGTCTTGATTGTCTCCTCGAGGGTTTGGTTGCTTGAAGCAACATTGCGAACGAGGAAGTTTAGACGTCGCAGGAGCAGCTTCGGAGGCTCAAGAAAGGTCTTTACGGTAATCCTGGTCGAGCCGTCTTCTCTTGCGGTGGGCTTGAAATGAAGGAACAAGAAATCGCAGTCTTTGCCGGGGGCAGCCGTGACTTCATCAATGGAAGCCATGCTGATTCTAGTAACGAGAACGAGACCAATATGGTTGCTGTAAAAGTAAATGTTCTTGGTTGTAACGTAGACACGACCTGGGAACTCTTGCAGGTCGGTTGGATTCCACACTGCGCGAAATACTAGGACCATCTTCTCTGATCGTGGCACAGTAGGGAACAGTATGCGGAACTGGGCATCCTGCATACGTAGAGCAAGAGGATAGCAGCTCGGGAATTCCTCTTCCTCAGCCAACTCGCTGGCGGGAGCGGGAATTGGCCCGCCCAAGCTAGCTGACTTGCGATGCACTACGGCAGCTGGGGCGGTTGGCCCATTTGCGGATTTGATCTTCTCGGTGCTAAGATCGTCTACTGGGCTTAGGGGTCCAGACCGGCTACGGTCGCGGGTCGGAGAATCTTCGTGACCTCCCACATTAACATATCCCCAGTTGACTGAGCCCCACAAGTTGGCCATGAGCCCACCCGGCATGTTGCCTGATCGGCCGCTACCTAGGCCGCGCTCACCACTCACGGCGACAGCGGCTTTGCTGAGGTTTGTCGGTGCTGGTGGGCTGGCCAGTGTAGAAGGCGCAATAGTCGTATACGGGAGCGTTTGTCCCATGACTAGTCGAGTGTCAGGGAGCCCAGGTGCCGGGGCAGGAACCTGACCAACTTGCACAATGTTATGGCTAGCTGAAGCAAGGCTTGCGGATATGAGGCTAGCAATACCGCTACTCGAGGAAGCAGAGGCGTCTTTCCCGCTCAGCTGAGGGCCTATTGTTGATTTTCGCGTAAGGTCCAGTTTCTCCATGATCCTCGCCGTATGATCACGACGAGTGGTTTCGCCTTCGAGTCCTGTGGCGCGCCGAGACGTCACATCAAAACTACCACGTACGGCAAGGCCATCGCTGCTTTGGGGATTAAGAGTTTCTGCGCGGTCCAGATTGAGGCCATCTTCGCCATCAGAGGTCTTTGCGGCAAATTCAGGGGCTACGGGTGGGCTGATGGAGAATGCGGCGTCAATGGACCCAGTGCCAGAGAGATCCTTTGAAGTATCTTCGAGCGCTTTACGCTTGGCGACCTCGAACGCGGAGATCCACTGTGTAATGTCGGTTTGCGTCTCAGCCTGGAGGAGAATGGTGGTATCTTTGGTCTTGACTTCAAAGCAGAAGCGTCGCTCCTCTGCAAAAGCCGGTCGAATACCGCAGAGCAGCACGCCAATCTTTTCAGATTCCTCGACAGCACCGGACCGCGTCCCTTGCGTGAGCCAGCCGAAGATGCCGTTCTTGACGAAGAACCACCGCCTGACCCAGTAGGTCCTGGCGGGCTTGCCCGTGATTGTGCGCTGGAACAGCCAGCCTTGCTTTTCGGCCTTTTCGCTTCCGGGGTCGGGCTTTGCGGGCGATTGCAGATTCGCAGACGAGGGCGCTGTGCCAAGGTAGGGAACTGTCGAGGCAGCATACGAGTCGAGGTCTCGCGATGGTCGTGCGCTTGCTTCGGCCGCGCCCTCGACCTGCTGTCGCGCAAGGTGCAGTTCTCTCTTGAAGACGCGCTCGCCGTTCTCCATCTCCTTGCTCCAGCCGCGCACACGCTCGACGTCCGACGTCCACATGGTGAAGCCCTTGGCAGCTGACTCGGTCCCGGACTTCATTTCGCGCCACTGCTCGTGTACAACCTTGACGAGTAGCTTGTCGAGCGTCAGGCGTATCTGGGGCGCCAGCACGCAAAAGTTCATACTGGCCTGGAGGTATGCCCGCCGCGCTTCGTGCAGCTGGAAGGCGTCTTCTCTCAGCGATGAGGCCTCTTTTGACTTGATCTGTCCGGCATAGCGCGCAATGGCTGCATCGAAGATGCGCTGTGTCGACTCGAGGTTCTTGCGGGCCTCCTTGAGCATGCGCAGGTCGTTATTGACAAAGGCCCGCAACGGCTCGCACATGGTGTTCTCAGCCCGCTTCATGCAGCGCAATGCGCTGTTCCAGTATTCGCGCGCGCCCTCGCCAAAGCGCTTGAGGGCGAGCACTGTGTAGTCATGGTCGACAACCGCCTCGGAGAGCTGCAGCGGCGGATGCGCCGTCTGGACATAAGCGTCGACCAGGGCCTGCATGTTGCTGCACTCGGCTGCAAGCTTCGAGGCGGCGCGGATGAAGGCGTCGAGCCATCTTTCGATCAGTTCGATCTGGTCGCCGTAATGCACGGCGGTTGCGCGGAACGTGGGCGAATCGAGGGCGGCTTCTTTGATTACGACGGGGCTGCATGGTGTAAGTATAACCACGAGTCCTGCGACGCCGTCGCCACATACATGAGATCCAACGGCCTCGACACGGGCTCGACGCTGGGCTGGGGCGGCTGCTCTTCCGCCATGGTTGCTGGCTGGGCGGCCAATACAGGGTGGGTATGAAAACGGGGTATCTATAAAGAGTCTTGGCAGAAGCAGACATGGGCGCTAGAATACATGGTCGAAGTCGCAAAGGGGCAGCAGATTGCGGCGTGGAGTGTCGTGTCGTGTCGCTTGTCCTCCTGGCCATGGCTATGCATAACATGAAGGCCCTGGCCCCCCGGCCCTGGATTGCGGCGGCGGCGGGCGGCGGGCGGGCGGTCGGTCGTCATTGCCGCGGCGAACGTCAGGGTTCGTTGCGCTAGCAGCTACTCCACCAAAATTTTGTGACCAAGCAGCCCACGCCCGTCCAGCAGCAGCAACATCCACCACCACCACTGTCACCACCACCGCCGCCCACGCCCAGCACGGCACATGGCGCCCACCAAGGACAACAGCGCCAGGAACGGCGTCAAGCGCGAGCTGGCCAGCGCCGCCGAGCCGCCGACCAAGAAGGCAAAGCTGCTCGACAACACCGACGACGAGGGCTCGGACAGCGACAATGGCCAAGGGTCTTTGCAGATCAACGAGGACTATGCGCGCCGGTTCGAGCACAACAAGAAGCGCGCCGAGAAGTTTAGACGTACGCGACAAGCGCAGCTGCAACCGCCCCGCCACTAACTGTATGCAGTCGAGGAAAAGTACGGCAAGGACAGGGCATTCGACAACGGCGACGATGACGAGTCCGAAGACTCGGAGGAGGGCGTAGAAGAGGACGATGCAGCCGAGCTCCTGGACGAAGACCTCGACGAGCAGGTCAATGCTACTCTGCAGGCTCTGCGCGCAAAGGACCCCCGCATCTACAACAAGGACGTCAAGTTCTACCGCGATGTCGACGAGAACAAGGGCGCAGAAGAGGCGAGCAAGGAAAAGTCTATGACACTCCGCGACTACCATACAAAGAATCTTCTCGAGGGCAAATACACCGTCGATGAGGATGAGGATGCGCCGCCAAAGACGTATGCGCAGGAACAGGAAGAGGCCCGCCAAGAGCTAGTCAAGGCCCTGGATGCTGCTGACGGAGACGACGACGATGACTTCATCGTCGCCAAGGAGAAGCCCGAAAAGCCCAAGGAAGACCGGATCAAGATCACAGCAGAGGATGTGGAAAAGGCCGATCAAGACCCGGAAACCTTCCTGTCCAACTTTATGGCTTCTCGCGCCTGGGTGCCCACCAAATCTGCTCGTTTCCAACCGCTCGAGTCGGACGACGAAGAGGAAGACGCCGCTGCTGACGAATGGGAGAACTCGTACAACCTATACTTTGAGGACACGACGGGCGCCAACGAGAAGATCATGACATATGCCCGTGACGCCGTTGCAAACACTACAGTACGTCGAGAGGATAAGAGCAGCCGGCGAAAGGCCCGTGAGGCTGCACGGGCAAAGCGTGAAGCCGAGAGGAGAGAGAAGGAGCAGGACCTTGCTCGACTGCGCAAGCTCAAGGTCGAAGAGATGGAGGAAAAGGTCAAGCAGATTCGTCAGATAGGAGGACTGAGCGGCAGGGACTTCAACATTGAGGAATGGAAGGATGTGCTCGAGGCAGACTGGTCCGACGAGCAGTGGGACGCTGAAATGCAGAAGCGCTTCGGAGACGCATACTACGGAGAAGAAGAGGGGCCCGACCAGAAGGGCAAGAAGAAGCCCAAGAAGCCCAAGTTTGACGACGACATCGACATCAAGGATCTCGTACCCGACTTCAAAGACGACGCCGAAGAAGAGCGCCCCTCGCTCTCCTCGGACGACGAACTGGCCGACGCCGACGGCGCCTCTGATAATCAAGAGGACCCTGATGCCGCCGAAGACGCCACCAGCACGGGCGCATGTACCCAAAAATCGTCCAAGCAGCGCAAGCAAGAGCGCGCAGACGCAAAATCCGCCGCCCGTCGCGACCGACGCCTAATCGAGAATCTCGTCAACCAAAACCTAGAATACGAGGCCGCGCTCGCCGCCAAGCCTTCAAAAGCTGCCTCGCGCTTCCGCTACCGCGAAACGTCACCCACGTCGTTTGGCCTGACGCCCCGCGACATCCTGCTTGCCGACGACAAGGCGCTGAATGCCTTTGCCGGCCTCAAGAAACTCGCGTCGTTCCGCGACCCCGTCAAGAAGAAGCGCGACAAGAAGCTGCTCAGCAAAAAGGCTCGCATCCGCCAGTGGCGCAAGGATACCTTTGGCGATCCCCATGGCCCAACCCGTGCCTTTGAAACGCTCGTCGACTCTGCGGCTCCACAAAGCGTCCAGCTTGACAGGCACGACACCCCCGACCAGCCGCCTAGCAGCAATATTGTTGAAGGCGACAAGAAAAAGAAGAAGAGGAGCCGGAAGAGGAAGGCGGCTGCTATTGAGGTTTAGAGGCTTGTAAGCTTGGTCCAATACTTGTTTGGGGTTTTTTTCTTGGGGGGGGGGGGACTGGGGTATGCAACTGTAAGATACCAAATTTCCAAAAAAAAAGTGGGCAACATATTTTTTTATTGGTGGTTGTTCTCCGAATATTCTATTTGTTGTAAAAGAGATAGATACAAAGAAGACAAAGACCCAAAAAAGGGGAGTCTATCTCTACTATCAAAACTTTACGCTGACTAGGAGTGGCTTGCAACAAGAATGGCTTACTCAGAGTTAATACTTTTTTTTAGAATCCGGGGCGGTGAAAACGGCAAACACCATAAACCACCAACCTAACTGGAAATGGGAAGACTGTTTATTTTTTTGCTTTCTATTGATGAGCTATTACTTTCGCCTAGCAAAGCGTACACACTGGTTCATTTACATGCCCCAAAACCAGCAACTCCAGGCCCCCACACCCTACTCGTACCGCATTCGGAAGGTATCATATATCGTCATGGAAAGCAATGCGACTATCGGAAGCTTCAGTCGGCGAACCCAAGCACTGCATTGAACCGCGTGACGCGAGTCGACTCGACATGATATTGAAGTTTTTGTGTCACTGTAACGGTGATATCAGACGGGCAAACGACGACATCGGGTATGGTAAGGTCGCACAATCCTGGCACCCAAGTCCAAAAGAGACTACTGGTCGTCGGCGTCGTCGGGCTGGTCGAAGAGAAAGTTGGCGGCCAGCTCCTCGTTCTTGTCGCACGCAAAGTATGCCTGGATGACGAGATCACGCTCAAACCCGAGGCGGCACAGACGCTCAATGGCCTCGCGCTCCTCCTCGGTGACAGAGATGGCTTGGGCGCCCGGTGGCAGGGGCGCGTCCTCGTCTGCGTCCTCTGCGAGCAGCTGCAGGAACTGCTCTGGGTTGGATGCAATCATCTGGGCCAGCTGGGGGTTGCCTGCGCCGACCTGCTGCAGAATGGGCTCAAGCATTTGGGGCTGCTGTTGTACCACCTGTCGTAGCTGCTGGAACTGGGGGTTGTTGCGCAAAAAGTCGAGGGAATTGGCGTTGAGGGCGCCGGCGCCAGCACCTCCAGTACCACCAGAGCGAGCACCGCCAGCACCTCCCCGGTTTTGGGCGGCGGCAGCAGCCTCGAATAGGTTCATGGGCTCATCGCCTCCGGACGAGGGGTTCGCAGCAGTGGCAGAGGTTGCACCCGTGTTGCCGCCAGCAGGCGTGGGCGACGTGGGCGCACGGGCTTGTGCTTGTTGCGCCTGCTCCTGCAGTGCGCTCTCGGGGATGCCCTAGAAGAAAGTTAGAAAGCGCCTTTTAGCAGGCGGGGAGCGCCACTCGTCTTACCGTCAGCAGATACTCAACCGCTCGGTCGGGGTTGAAGAAGGCGGCGCGCATGGCACGGTCAATGTCAGCTCTTGCGAAACCCATGCTCTCCATGTTGGCAATGGCGGCCTCGCGTTCGCCACCCATGGTCAGAGCAGAGGGGTCGTTGAAGCGCTCGCCCGATGCCTGAGCAGGCGCGGGCGAAGGTGTAGCGGGGGCATTCTGTGTGCTGGATGCTGCTGCTGGTGCAGGGGCTGAGGGCGTCTGGGCTGGTACTGGCGCAGGTGTCGAAGGCGCAGCTTTACTCGACGATGCAGCAGGGGCGGCCTTTGGCTTGGAGACCATGCAGACAATGAAGCCCTTTTCCTCAATGTTGTACGACTCGACCGTGTTGGCATCTTGGAGGATCTTGCCTGTTGGCTGCGTGTTAGCGACGGCCGCTGCCTGGCGTGGAGAAAAGCTGCGGCTTGTGCAGAGCTTACCCGAGTAGATGAGCTTTTGCTGTGGAACGTCCCATCCCTTTTCTGCCTGAATCTTGGACTTGAGGGCGCCAATCTATTGTGCAAACATTAGCTGCGGGCGAGGGCGAGCGGCGAGCGGCGAGTGGCGAGGCTGAGGGTGGCGGGCGCTGCATACCGTTTCTGAAGGCTCGGCCTCGATGACGAACTTGTTCTGCTTCAGGTCCTGCTTGGGCGTCAGCGGGGGGGCTCTCTGGCGGCGACGGGGCGAGCAGACGCGTACCTTGAATGTGATCTTCATCTTGGCGGTTGGAGCGTGGGTGGTTGCAGATGGAGCAGTGTTGGGCGGGGTGTCGTTGGAGGTGAGGTGGGGATGATGAAGGTGGTCTTGGCGCGATGGCGCAGGCGCAGGCGAGTGACAGCAGCGGTAGTGGTGGTGGTAGTGGTAATAGTGGGAGAGCGAGGGCAAGGGCCCGTGGCAGGCTGCACTGCGCTCTTTCTATGGAGACGGGCTGCAGGCGTTTGTGCACGGCAAACGGTGGATGGTTTGCGTGCGCGGGCAAGCAATGGATGGAGGCTGGTTTTGAGTAGGCAGAGTGTCGGTTGTCGACCTGTGTGAGCTTGCACTGCTGGTGAAGAGGCCGCCAGCACAGCCATAGCCACAGCCACGAGTGGCGCACGATGGATGCCAAGACCCCGAGGCAGAGGCGTTCCTCAGGCATACACACACATAGACTCTCACACACATACACCTGCACATAGACATTCATGCCGTCAATGAATGATCGACGACGCGAAAAGAGGCTTGATGCAGCCGCCGGGCCGCTCCAGGGCAAAGGCTGATGCGGCAGCGGTGGCATCATTCGTCATGTCCACAAGTCACGGGACGCCTAGTTTGGCGCGCGCCCATGTCGATAGCAGCTGGAGACGGACTACCACGACGACTACCACGACGACTACCACTACCACCACCACTACCACTGCTACGCCCACACGCACACGTACAGTATGGCACACTCAGCACCCACGGCCACGGCCAACGGCCAGAACGGCCTCCTGCGCGCACTCCCGGCAGTGACGCAACAGAGGAGGGGGGTTGGCCCGCATCCTCATCTCGGCCCCGGCTAGCGCTGCTGACATCCATCTCCTCCCGCCGCCCGCATCGATACCGGCACGCGTCAACACAGGCTCTCTCTGCAGTGCCGCGTCCAGCAATGGCAGGCCAGCTGCTGCACGTCGGGCGGAGGGCGCATTTCTGTTTCAATGGGCCATGAATCAGCGTCGCCAGTCGCGAGGAGCGTGTTTCACGGCCATGCCAAACGCTGGCCTCGCCACGCCGGCGGCACGACAGTCGGCTGCCGCGATGCTGTCATGGCTGCACGGCAGCTGGCAGACTATCGATGGTGCTACCCACGGCCGTGGCGGGCATGGGCAGCGTGCCCCGGCGCCACCATGTGTTTGTTGTGTGCTTTTGCCGCACGCATGGGCACAACAAGGCGTAGGGAAATGAAGGGCCAACCTTAGCGTAGCTCGACGCGACAGAGTTTGACAGGTAGGCCCTGACACGGTTTCTACACAGGCCGTGGCTGGCCTGGCCCGCCTGTCTGCCCCGGCCGGCCATTGGCCGTCGCCGTCGCGGTTTCGAAAAGACCAGCCGTTTTTCTTTTATGCTTCAAGCGCAGCTGCGGCGCCGTCACATGGCCCTCGACTCGGCCGCGTCGGGGCGGCGTGCAGCGCGCTGCAGTGCCATGGTCGCCTAGGCAGCTCCATGGCTGCGTGCGTCTAAACATGCTAGTAGGGGTTTCCCAGCGCAGTCGTGGGCGTGTTGCAGGCCCGCCCTCGAAACAACGGCCCACCCGTCCGCCGTGTGTGCTCGTCTTGTAAATCTAATATTACTTGTTGCCCCTCCACACGCTGCCGACGATGCGTGCTCTTGTCTCTCTCTCTCCCTCCCTCTCTCTCTCTCTCCGCCCTGCCTGTCCTTTGTCGCTGCGTGCTTGCCCGCCGCCCTCTGCTGCCCACACATGCCACATGCGGCCTAGCCGCGCCTCCGCCACGGCCCCCGAAACGGTTCGCTCGACTATAGTACCTGCATCTATACAGCCGCATCATTTCCTCCAACGCGTCCACGTCCCCCCACGGCCGCTTTAGCGCCTCCCCACAGCAACACGCCGGGGGGTGTTTTTATGCATCCGGTCCGCATAATCCCATCCACATTGCCGCGACTCTCTCGCTTCTCCCAACACCCACCCGTAGCCGAAAACCCTTTCTATTTTGGGCCGACCGTTACTTTAATACAAACTCACCTGCTGCTACTCCGCTCCACAGCTCTCACCAGCCCTTTGTCGACAATCCCCCCCCCGAGCCTGCGAGGCTGGCCGCCTGTACTTGCAAGTACCCTGGCCTACGCCATCAACCCCCCCCCTTGACACCCATCAACCATGTCACAGTCTCGGATACTCTACCTCTCACTTGTCGGCTTCGTGGCATGGTCGACCACCGCAGCTGACGCAATCATATCCATCCTAGAGGCCGCATCCTTCTCGTCTGCTCAGTCGTCCTTGGTTGGCATTGCCGCTGCAGCAGGCACATTCGACCTCGTCTCGCTCGGCGCCATTGGCTTCTACCTGTACCACAGCCTGGGAAGTGCACACGCGGCCTTGGAGCAATCCGGGAAGGCGAGAAGAGCCATTGTGGCCGTCTGCATCCTCTGGTCATGTATCGCATTGCTGCTGTCCCTGGTGCTGATCGTTGTGGTCAAGTCAAGGTGGGACGAAATCACTGCCACTTCTTCGAGCGCGCCCACACTGGATTGGGACAGTCATGTCTCTGGGCAAATGGCAGCATGGGTCCTGTCATTCATCAGCCAGGCTGCTCTGTACGCCTCTCCCCTATGGAATCGCAAGGCCCCGCTTGTTCAGACTGTCGTCACATCCGGCCCCCGAGACTCGGTCATCAGTGAGATGCGAACAAACCGCCCCAGGGACTTGTATATTGGAAAACCCGTCGAGCCGTCATCGCCACTGGCTGCTCACCTGCCTCGCGAGCTTTCGCCAGCTCTGCCCTCGCCTACCTTTTCAAGTCGGTCTTCTCAGTCGATGCGATCGTTCCGCGAATCTCTTCGCAACGTCATCCGCCCAGTCACATCCCGCACGACTCTGATCAATCAGAAATCATTTACTCGAGATGCACCACTCAGCATCTACTCGAACCGGCAGTCAGTAGACACTGTCTCGCATTCGGACGGATTCGACAGCTGGGACACTAGTAGCGTGAGCATCCCAGCGCGCGACGTCGTGCTGCAACAGACGACACCATACAAGGTTACTGCGTTAGAGCCCATCCCCGGAAGCCGCCCAAACTCACCTGCTCGACCATTGGACGGCCCTTTTCTTTCGGAACTTCCGGAGGAGGAAGACGACGACGACTTGGCACCACCTCCCAGGATGATGCCTGATACGGCGCGCCCACCGAGCCCTGCCGTTAGTGAGGCTCACATCCACCCACTGTTTAGGTCGGAAAGTCCGTCGGGCTTGCCGCCTCCAACTGCCACACCTGGGACAAGCATCATGGCCAGCCCTTACTCAACCCAGGCTATTACATGCCCTCGACGCTCGTTTAGCCGCATGCGATCAAACAGCCAACTGAGCCAAACCAACACCCTCCACCAAGCCAGGAGCTTTAGCCGGGACCGCCGCCCAACAAGCGAACAGTCCAACTCAAGGAGCCCTTCCCCTCCGAGTCGCGCAATGACTCCTCCCATTCCGGACTTTGTGCTCAACTCTTCTCCGCGGAGCAGCGTATGCGGTGCTCGAAGGGTCCAGCTCCAATATACCCCCGACCGATAATGGCACAAGAGGTCGGCATCTGGTGTCACGACTGTCATTGTTTGACATGACGCGCCTAATGCTCAAAGATGTAATGTTTTGCACGCTTGTACGATACGATCTCCTCGCTTATTCCCTTGTATTCATTCGTATATCCACTTTCCTTGTCACGTGTTTTTTTTGTCCTCTTTCCAATGTCGCGAGCTCTCTTGCCCAAGGGCCTGATTGAGCTTTCAGCGTTTCTTAGTAAAGGGCTTCTTGCATATGGGAACTGTTGACCAGTATCCAAACAACTTTTCTTTTTCCAATCTTCATCGGCTTTGTGTAGTGTAGTATGCATCCATCCTAGTACTTAGTTTACGAGCAACATCATTTGGGAAAAGACAAACGGGAAGACAAAAACTTTTTTTGGTACGACAAGAGAGGGACGACTCGGACGACTCGCGCACGCACCCGTCTCAGGGACAAGGGCGTTTTCGAAACTCGGGGGTTTAGGGGAGGGGGGGGGTTTACTTGGCCAAAACAAAATTCAATATTTTTACAAACACATTACTCCCTCAGCATCCCCCTCAGTATCGTCATGATCATCGCTATAAAACCAGATGCTATAGTCTAGACCGTGCCTCTCTTTTTTAATTCCTCCCAACTCTTCTCCTTCTGGTTCGCTAGTTTCGCGGCTGCAAACACGAAACAAAATAAATAAATCAAGAAAAAAAAAGGGTTTAAACCGAAAGATTTCTGGTCAAGAATGGGAATTAGAGTTTACACTTATATGCATGACACACGCACACACACACACACACACACACGACGGGACCCTGGCTCCCTTTTTTTTTCTCTCACATACTGGGGTATGGATATGGATATGGGTTATGGGGGTATGGGTAAGTAGTAAGTAGTGTGTACATCCCCCCCCCCAGAAAAAAATCCCCGTTGTTGGAAAATCGGCCCCACATGCATGTACGTACATACCGATACAGATATACCTGCATATACTCACACACACATACATATATACCGACACTTGTATACCGACACATACTGACACATAACCAACACATTACCGACAGACAGACATAATAAAACACAGATATCCACTATATCTCCCCCTTGTGTCTTCTGTAGCTTGTACGTAACGTACATGTACATTTAGCTTGTAACGTGGACGATCCTTTCCCTTTCCCTTTCCCTTTCCCTTTGCCTTTCTTTGGACCCCCCCCCCCCCACTTCCCGATAGGTATGTAACAGTATGATATTTACATGCGCTAGTTAAAGGACTCACTTTCACTTCTCCTCGTTGTTTGTCTCATGTTATGCATTCTTGGGAAATGGGGTATGCACGTGTGTTGCGTGTGTTGTGGTGGATGCCATGGGATATTGGGGAAGCCGAGGTAAGTATGGGAGGAAATTGGTGGGGTGGGGAGGGTAGGGTAGGGTAGGGATAGATAGATAGAGAGAGAGAGAGAGAGAAGGTGTACGTGTGTATGGGGGGTGTATGCATGAATGTATGCACATGCTTTTTTTATATATGTGTTTATTTACATAATTTGCTATTTACTTTGCATCGCATCTAGCTATGTTGATGGCTATGTGTCTATGTGTGTGTGTGTGTGTGAAGCGTTGTTTCATCCACCTACCCACCGAATTAACGCGCGTAAGTATACTTACTCCTCCTACGACTCCTACGACTCCTCCTGCCCTTAAGTAAGTACTACCCTGCACTAATTAACTACCCTTACCTAACCCAAACTTACCTTCCACCACCACCACCCCACCATCCTTACCCTACCCTACCCTACCCTACCCTGCCACCCCTACCACTACCACTACCACTACCACTACCACTACCCTATCTCTCCGCCTTATCTCCATGACATGACATAACGGGCCGTGAATCACACATCCATACATACATACACATAAGCATTCGGACTTGGGCTGTTGCATGCATGCCCCCCTGTCTCCGTCTCCGTGCCTCGTTTCCGTGCCCGTGTCCGTCCGCCCGTGATGAGGGTTTAAAAAAGTGGGGATCTAGGTGCGAGGTGGGGTTCTGACTTGCTTGCTTTGCTTACGGACACAGACAGATGGATGGATGGATGGATGGGTGGAGGGTTGTGTGTATGAGGGTTACGGGGTGGATGGATGTGGTGGTGTTCTGATGACGGAGGAGGGCAGGGAGGAAGGGAGGGAGGGAGGGGTTGGTCATGATTCGTGTGTATCACACTTTTTTTTCACACACACATACTTGTTGTGGTTGTCATTGTTGTGATTCTTGTTGTAATTCTTGTTATGATTGTTGTTGTTGTTGTTATTTCTTTTGTTATTTTGCCTGTTCACACGCAAGTTCACCCGATAATTTTTTTCTCTCTTTCTCTTGTTCTCTCTCTTTTTTTTTGAAAACAAGTCATGCACAAAGTAAATGAGACAGACAGAGACAGAGACAGAGAGAGAGAGAGAGAGAGAGAGAGAGAGAGAAAAATATCACCCGTTTCAATTTGCTATACAATCCCACGATTTTTCTCCCTCTCTCGCATTCATCCATTTATCTGCACAACACAACACAACAAAACGGTGTTTGTTGTGTTTGTTTCTTTTTCTTCCTTCTGTATTTTACATTTTGATTTTTCTCTTTTTTTTCCTTCTTTTCTTTTCTCTTCCATCGCAAGTACGCATGCGAACAAACCTATTCGTTCGAGAACTACTTAGTGGGCTTTTTTTTTCACGTTCCGTTCGTTACATGGACATGCATCCCACACAAAATGCTACCACTTCCGCCCCCCTGTCCTAACCCATCCTTTTCCGATAACCCATTTATTTTTTCTTCGGCAGTTGTTTTTGGGTTTCGGAGTCGTGTTTTCTTTCTTTCTTCCCGCACCAAGGTAGGTTTGTGTGTGTGTGTGTGTGTGTGTGGGTGTGTGTGGGTGTGTGTGGCTGGGCTGAAAGGCGCACACAAGGGGATACGTACGTACGTATGCGCATGGTCCCCCAGCAGAAAGAACAATAATGACGATGATAACGGTGAATAATAATAATAATAAGAGGGCTAAAGGGCACGCTACGCGGCTACACTTACCCCATTCCCTCTCAACCCCCCCCCCCCCCCCGATGCAGCGTGTTTCTCCGCGCACACATATGCAACACACGTACGCAGAAAGCGGATTTGTCATATGTAGGGTCGATCAAAAAAAAAAGGGCTGGCATTCTGAAACTTGAAACTGAGGAACTGAAGGACCCTGGCGTTCTGGCCCCCCCCCCTTGGAGTCGCTATTTCCATACTAAGCGAACACATGTGCAAACACACACATAGTTGTGGATGTCCACGTGCGCATCCGCGTGGTGGCGGTTCGCAGCGAAATGGTGTTGCAAAAGGCGAGATGGCTGCGTTTGGGCATCCCCGTGCTTCCGCCCCCTTCTCGCCGCCTTGTTTGAAGGGCTTGTATGTATATACATGGGAAGGATGAGGGATTTGATTTGGGTTGGGTTGGGCTGTTGGTTATGAGGAATGTGGAAGAGAGGGTGGGTTTTTCCTACTTTCCCCTGTCATAATGCAGGACTGTCTGGTGATGGCTGCCTTTCCACACTATCCCTCTGACATGCCCGTGCCGTCTCTCCTTACAAGCGGTGTATTTATTTTCCAGCGAATGTCTAGTCCAAATGCTATATCCTCCGCCACTCAGATTATGAGTCTGTCGTTCAGCGAATATTGAATCCAATACCATGACTCGGTCCGACCGTCCAGCGACTGATTGGATCCGTATTTGTTCTGGGCATAGACTCATCATCTAGCCTCTCATATATTTTCCTGCATGTTTCAGCACTTTACAGACTCGGTCGAATGGGTGGCGCGCAGCACAAAGCAAAAGGGAGCCTCGTTGGTGAAGGATCGGGGAGGGATCGTCCCGTCTAGCGGCGCGGCTAATGACGTGCGACTTGAAACCCGGATGAAGCAACTTGGAAAGCTTCCAGAAGCACTGGCATTTTTTTCTGCATTTGGTGGTGCTTGGTAAAGGAAACGGCAAGGTGGCGGCAGTGCAATGTAGGGCCGTTCAAGAGCTGCGACAGGTGGCAGCAGTCATGTGATGATGGCGACGATGATGTCGTCGCGTGTGGCGGTGGTGGAGGCAGGGGAGACGTTGGCTGCATAGCGGGTATGGCTCTGGGCGCGTTGTCGTGTTTGGCGGGCGCTGTGTCAGGAGGCTCGCGGTGCCAATGGCAAAGGTCGAGTCTGGGGCCAGGCAATGGCAGGAGACGCAAGAGCATGCATCGCCGTGCTTGTCTGGGGGGGGGGATGACAGGGCGGCGGTGGGAGCATGTCAAGAGGGCGCTGTCATTCGTGGGAAGCATTCTCAAAGCAGTTAGGCGCCACCACCCCGACTAAGGATCTCACAAGAGCTTCATCTTCATGCGCCAGAATCAACTCGACTTCGTCTTGCCACTCCTTTCGGCCAGCTCGAGATCCTGCGGTGCAAGCCCTGCTTCTTCCTCTTTTGCCCTTCCTGCCCGCTGTTTTGCCTGCCGCTGTTTGCCTGCCCGTCTTGCCGACTCGGACGGGGCCACGCGGAGCATTCGTTTTGCAGGGTTGTGTCCGCTCTCTTGCGACTATCGTGCCCGTCTGCTCAACCGGTAGACGGCGTGCAGACGAGAGCAGACGGCCGACGTCTGGTGCCGGGGCAGTTCCATGCATTTCCGGTCTGGTGCCTCGCTGTTCGCATTGCGTGGTTGTTGACCAAGTCACGGTGGTACGTCGTGGCGCACCCGGAGCACGGTGAGTGGTTTTACGTCGACGCACACAGGCAGCATTTGCAAAGACGGTGCCTTGTACGCCTTGCTCACGCTGCCGCCGCCATGGGCACTGCAGCAGGCAGAAGCGTTTTCTATGCCAGACTTGGTCCTGATGCCACGACGACGACTGTGCTGACATGTCTTGCTTACAGGCCCAACGAGCGCCTCCCGTGGCACGCTCACGAGCAGCGGCCCCAGGTTGACTGGCTGTCTGGCATAGCATCCCTCTGTAAGTGCCGGCGCTTTTCCTTGTCTCGTGCGCAGAACAGAGGTTCGGCGCCATGTGTACAAGAGTCAGACGAGCTAATGGCTGGACCATGCAAGGAGTCGTCGGCTCAGCTCGCAGCGTGCGGCGCCAGAATGGGCCCCAAACGCAAGGCGAAGACGACGACAGCAACAACGGCGACAGCAGCAACAACGACAACGACGACAACAACAACAACACCAACAACAGCGACGGCTTGCAAGGCACTGGGTAGGTCGCGTCCATGCAGCGCTGCCCGCCACGATGGACGGCGTTGCCATGTTCCCCATAGGGTTATGCTAACCTTGGCATAGCCGCTAGCGCATTGTCTAATAAGCGAAGTAGTCTTCAGGGTTCCAAGACATCTCGCCTTGCTCCTTCAGTACCATTCCAAATGACAACGCGTCGCGGTGCAAAAGGCACTTCGAACCACACGAGCTCGGCGGGCCCGTCTAGCGCGAGCTCTGGCAGCCGCCGCAATTCGCTGGATGAGAACGCGCAAAACGACGAGGCGCCCGGCGAGCATGAGGATGCGCGACCAGCCAAGCGCAGCCGAACATTGTCCGCTTCTGGTTCGCCGCAGAGATGTAATGGCTCGCGCGACGCCAGCACCCACGACGACAACAGCAACAACACGCACGACAACAGCAGCAGCATCACGCCCATGAATGGCACCCACACGCCCGAGCTGCACAAGCCCGCGCCCGCTGCGACGTCGACGGCGCCCAGGACGGCGGGCAAAAAGAGGCGCGCATCCGACGGCTCCACCCACTCGACCAAAACACGCCCCAACGGTCTTCTGACCCGTACCCAGAGCGATGTTTCTGACCAGCAGCCGCGCAAGAAGCGCAGGACCAAGGACAGCGCCGCCGACACGCCCGCCGACCAGCTGCCCGAACTGACTGATGCCAGCACCGCGCCCAATTCGCCAGAGCACATGCCCGACGTTGACGGCAGTCAAAGCCTGCACAACGTGTTGCCAGCCAGTGGCGATGCCCCTGCAAAGTCCGGCAGGCGCTTGCCTGGCCGTCGGCGCCAACCGCATCCGGACATCAATGTGGAGACCGACTTACGTCGCCAGCTCAACCTCAAGATGAGCTATCGCAGCCTGGCAAAGGTCCAGAAGCTGCTGCTCGAGGAGCTGGCCGCCCGCACCACCAAAAGCCTGGAGCACGATGCCAACTTCCACCGCCAATGTCCCGAGTACCACGCCGTCATGGCCCAGCTCGACCAGCGCCGCGACGCCCGCCTCAATCAAGTCAATGCTCTGCGCACCTATCGCCTCGAGCAGATGGAGCGCGTGCGCCTTGCTGAAGAGCACATCCAAAAAGAGCAGTACATCAACAGATTCCGCGAGCTGCAGGACGACTTTGTCCTGCAAATCTACTTCCGCGCCAAGAAACTCGAGCGCGAGATGAAGGGCCACGATGCTAATGCCACCGACGACGAGGATAATGTCCTGCCGCCTACCTACAGCGACGAGCCCCACCACGCACAGGATGACCGCATCGGCTCCAAGTTTGCCTCTCGCAGCAGAGCCTACGTCGAGGCCGACCGCGAGCTGGAGCATGAGTCGATACGCAAGCGATTCAGTCAGGCCAGAGCTGCCTTTGTTGAGAAAGACGAAGAAGCCGATGATTCAATTGACGATGTTGCCGGTGGATTTGCGAGATTTGACGGTCCAGACCGCACAGAAGCCATTGCCCACTACAACATCAACCGCCTTGCTGATGCTGCCCACGAAGTTGAGAGGACGCCTTCGCCGCAGCCAGAACCTCCAAAGCCTGAAGTGATTCCCAACGAGCACGCTGACCTGCTCATGATCCTTGCAGATGTATCTTCAAATCAACCCCGTAGCGTCACTGTGCCGAAGCCACCACTTCATTACCCGCACCCACAGCAGCAGCCACCGCCGCCGCCGCCACGAGCCAAGACTCCCGTCATCAAGCAGGAGCACCCAAGGGAGAAGTCGCCCGAATATGCCCAACCGGCAATGCCGTCAGATGTTCCTTCTCAAACTGCACGTGATAGTCCTGCCGAGAGCACACGGCCTGCAGTAGATGTTACCCACGAGCCTCCTCGTTCTGAGCCACAGGCACCCGCACCCGCAAAGGAGCCAGAGGCGCCAGCAAAGTCGACGCCAAGGTTATCGACGCATAGGATCATGGATATACTCAACGACGACTGTGAAGTGCCCGTCTCAAGAACACGAGAGCAACAACCGCCACCTCAAGAAAAGATCACCATGCCAACGCAGGACCCTTCGATACATCGCCGCACATCGTCTCGAAGCGATGCACTACGTGTGGATGACATGGTAAACAAAGAAGAACCCCCTGTTGACCAGGCCCTAATGGATGCATTGAGTGGGCCTCAACCACCCAGCAACCCGCCTTCCTCGCCACCGTCAAATCCCCAGCCCTGGCCAAGATCCAATGTCCCGCCACCAACCCGAGAACCAGAAGAGTCGCTGCGCCGTCGAGACCCTCTGCAGAAGATTAGAGAACTCTTGGACAAGAAGGCGCGCGAACATGGCCGAGACCCGTCGGACCGTCCCAGCTACGGTCGGCCTCCTGTATTCACCAATAAGCCAAACCCTCAACCCCCGAGTGGACACGACAGAGCTGAGGTGGCGGCCTATGATCCAACGCGACCATCTACGGGACTATATGGTTCGCTGCCTGGTGGCTCGTATGGATATGCCTCTCGTCGGGAGTCTCACGAACAATCAGCTCATCACTGGGAGCATGACCGGCGGATGAGTGGTTCTCAAGCACCCCAAAGCTCGACAGCGTCTCCATATCAAAGCCATGCTGCGCACCCCCATTATGGCGAACACCATAGGTCAGGACCCACGCCACCAACACATCAGAGTCCGTACGCTCCACCTGCTAGTACATTGCCACTCCCGGCAAAGCCACCTGGACCTCCTCCGCCTATTAACTACCGCTTCGCACACTACGACCCTGCTCCACCACGGACGTATCCACAGTCACCGAATTATCCACCCACTTCGCATCCACCGCAAAGCACATCTCAACCCCAATACACGAATCCGTATGGCAGTGCACCACCCTACCAAAGCGGCTACATCCCTCCCCCAGGGTCATTTCAAGCACCACCTCCCCCTCCCTCCAGCATGCCCCCATACCAGCCACTCAAGATCCACCAATACGGAGGCCAACCCATTCTTCCTGCCAACATGGCACCACCCCCGCCACAACAACACACGGGACCACCGCCCACTCTACCTTTTATCAGCCAAGCTCCTCCACCTCCATCTCTGCATGCCTCGTCGCAAGCGCAGGGTCCACAACAAGCATACTCGCCGACACATCCTCACCCATCCCCTTTGCAATACGAGCAACAGCAGCTGGAAGGACCATCACAAAACGGCAGTACAGAGCGTTCTTCAGACTCACAGTCTAGGCCCAGACGACCATACAGAAGCTACCACGCTCCTGGCACACAGTTCCGAAGCTATCAGGGTCCTGGCGAACAACGGAGAAGAGGTGGATGAAAAGAAGAAGAAGAAGCAAGAGAAAAAAAAAGGGAAATAGAGGAACAATAGAGTTGATATGATGCGACGATGAAAGGGAGGGAAAGACTTTTTTTTGTATCTTGTGTCTGTCTGTGTATCGTTCTTGTCGAAACTTTTTTTCCTGTCATATTTTTTGCCATTACTACTACCACTACCACTACCACTACTAGTATTACCACTATTTATTATCATCATCATTATCACCATTGTTGTTGTTGTTGTCATTCACTGTCTTTTTTCTTTTTCTTTTGCAATCCAAGGGTAGCATGATGCATGGCTGGACTCGATCATATATATACATACACACGTCTTTCTTTCTTTTTTTTCCTTTTCCTTCCTCGTTTCCTCATCACTTTTCCTTGTTTTTCCTTGGACTCTTTTTTCTTTTGGGGCCAATACAAAAGTACTTCTTTCTGCATATTGGTCGTCTACCTTTTTCCTCCTCATCCCTCTTCCTCTCTCTCTCTCTCTCCCTCCCTCTTGCTTTCCAGCACTTTTCTTTCTTTCTTTCTTTTTTTTTCTCAAATCTATGTCGTATATGGACCAAGTAGCCAATTATATACATGTGTGATTGTTCACTTTGTTCACTTGTCTCTCTCTGTCTCCCTATCTTTCTGGTCTTATTACTACTACTACTACTACTACTACTACTACACAAACTAGCTGTTCACACACATACATACACACATACACACATACATACTTACATACGTGACTACGTATACCCTAGGGAAAGAAAGAAACACCCCTGTCAAGAGATTTTATGTAACATGGTAGATACGTGATAGTGAAGGGTGATAGATAGGTTAAGTTATTAGTTGATTAGTTTGAATAGTTGGTTACATAGTTGGTCGGACGATATGTATGTACACCCACACCCACACACACACACACACACACACATGCTCACATACTTAGTAATCATTTATCCATTTATTCTACATAATATCGTGCAGTACACTGATTCCACCATGCCTTCCCCCGCTACTCCTGTCTTCTAACTAGGCTGAATACATGGATAAATGTGTGTGTGTGTGTGTGTGTGGATTGTGCTTTGTAGGATGCGGATGGTGTATGTAGGAATCTAGCGTTACGAGGGAGGGAGAGAAAACGGTACGATGAACATGATAGAGACAGAGACAGAGACAGAGAGAGAGAGAGAGAGAGAGAGAGAGAGAGATTTAGGAGGAGAATAAGAGTATTGGAGAAGAAGAATTTGCATACAACAAAGCCACACACACACACACACACACAAAAGTTCCATGTATTACAGCAACAGCAAGGGGGGTATCACTAATATCCATCTAAACATCCATCCATCCATCTATTTAAAAATCTCCCATCACACAAAGCTCACCCTCTCACAACACCAAACTAAGCCCTCCTCTTAACCCTCGGCGTAGGCGTCCACTCTCTACCCAGCGCCGCAGCAGCGCCAAACCCGCGTGCAGCAGACGCACCAGCCGCCGTCGGTGTGGCGCCACCGACTCTCTCAAACAGTCTCTGAGCCGCAGGCGTCAAGTCAGCCTTTGCCTTTCTGCCTGGGGTGTGGGCTCCAGGCGCGATGATGCTGGTTCTCAGTCTATTTGCAGCTGGCGTGGGGGCACTCAGGAAGCGGGGAGTTTGTGCGGAGAAGATGCCGAGGCCGGGTGTTTTTGCTGATTTGAGTGTTGAAGAAGAAGAAGATTTGTGGTTGTGGTTGTTGTTTTGACTGGACCGGTTTGCGTTGATCTTGTCGACCATTTTGTGGTGCAGTTTTTCGCGCGACGATGACTCGTTAATGGTAAAGGGTGTGGCTTTGCTGCTACTGCTGCCGGCTAGACCGTAGCGTTCGAGGAGATCGGTCGGTGCGTCTTCGTCGTCTGACGAGGGGGAAGGCGGGTGTGCGTCGACAAAGGCGTAGCCGTTTACTCGCGGAGTTTCGCTGCCTGTGTAGCCTCCTTCGCTGGGGTTGAGGCGCGGGCGACCGGCGATGGCGTCGCGGACGGCTGAGAGGGTGGGACTGGGTGGTCGTGCGGGTTGGTCGGTCTCCGGCGCAGGGAGGCGCGTGTTGTTGTACACGACTTGCTTTGGGGGCGCGAGAGACTTGGTTTCAGCGACTTGAGCGCGCGTAGGTGCCCATTGCTCTACGCTTTCGGGGCCAAACATGAGACTGTTGATAGCTGTGTGGCGGTGTCCGGTTGGTGCTGCGGGTCGCTCGTCGAGGTTCTGGCTTGGTCGCGTGCTGACGACTAGTTCCTTGCCTTCTGATGCCGCGGCCCTTGCCTCGATGACCTTTTGCTGCGCTATGCGCTGTTTGCTTGCATACATGTTGCCTTCTCGTAGCCATTGGTTCTTTTCGAATTTGGCCTTGTTTTGCTTGTCGACAATCTGGCTGAAGCTTTCCTGATCCTCGCTCGTATATTTGGCTTGGAAAGCCCCAAGGCTCATATTAAGATCCACATGATCCAGTTTGCCCAAATCTTCATCTTCTCCTTCTGCTTCTGTTTCCGCCACAGTGACTGGTGTATCTGCACCCCACACACTTGGCGTCTTATCCCCAGGTCCACCAGCCTTGTCGAATCTCGTCCTCGCTGCCATTTTCCGGTGCCCATTCGGTACAGGCGTCATGACCTGTGTGAGCTTTTTGCCTGCCTCCCGTATCCATGATCGATTCTTGCTTTCGACCGCATTCAGGTACTCGCGCTGTGCGTCTGCTTCCGCCAAACCAGGGAAGAAGTCGCGACGAACAATGTGCGAGATTGCAGAGACGTAGGTGTCTTCATCGAGGACTATAGATGGACGCTTGATGCGTTTCGGCGCGGGAGGAGGCGGCATAAGAGCATCCGACGCGCTGCGCTTCGTGAGCGCTGTAGAGTTGGAGGCCGACATGATGCGGTTGTGGCGGGGTTGGGGGCTGTTGAGCGGCGAGTGGAGGTTTGTGGCAGAAGAAAATGGCAGGCCTATAGCGAAAATTGTCAAAGAATCGCCGCGGAAAAGAGTGGAGGGCTCGACATGTGTTCTGTAGTGGTATGGGTTGGTGCAAGAGGGTTGGCGCAAAGTGACGTTTCTGGGTGTCGATGTCTTGGCAGCGGCAGATGGGTCCACCGCCTTCAGCCCTATGTATCACCCGTGCCGCTTGCGCGTGAAAGTACCTGCATAAGCCTGATACAAGTCACATGAATTAAACCAGTCGTAGTTTGATTCAAGTTTTCCGTGTGCATAACACGTTATCATTGCAGTTCTAAGATAACCAATGCTCCTCCAATCCTAAACAGCTTCCAAAGTGCAAAATCATCGCACAAGCACTATCATGACCTAGCATAGCAACCGTGACTCAGAATATTACTTGAGAATAATACTGATGTTGCTCCTTCTTGTTGCAAACGCAACAGCGTCCGCTACTCTTGGACTTTTTCTTCTCTACACCCTAGGTGCGCATCTCATGTACCCCAGGGGTCGAGACGTCGCCATGCGCCAGTCTTTAGACCACAGATATAATCAGCGTTGAAGGAATATACATATTCCCATCCCGAATGCCTCCTCTAGTAGAATGACTCGACCATGGCGTCCTTGTGTGTGGTGTTGATGTTGGCAGGGCCGTTGCCCTCACCGAGCCTGAAAACGGATTCGACAACTGAGAGCTCAGTGGCAGTGGTATCGAGACCTGAGTTTCTGTGAGTCCATGAATCTCGCGACTTCAATATGTCTGTACTTACCAGTAACGGCCATCCAGTCGTTGACAACCATTCCTGCGCCGACAACAGCGCTACCACGGTTCACACTGCCAGCAACAAGCGGGACCTGCAGCAAACTTGAAAGCTCGTCCTGGTCCTGGATGCTAGTCTTGGGGTGCACAATGCCACCCTGGTTGCTCAGTGCCATGTAACTTCCGGTAAGCACGTTGTCGGCAATGGTCTGCCTAAACACCTCCACGCCTAGTACATCTGCTATTATCTCTTCCGTCTCGCGCTCAATGTCTGGATGGACGAGTGCGACGTGATCGTTGCAGCATATTACGTTGCCGAGGGCAGATAGGCGCTCTTCTATTCTCTGAATCTTGACTTCGTCGGGAATGGAATTTCGAAGGTGCTGGAGTTCTTGGTCTGTGGTAGTGGTGGGGACAAGGAGGCCCTTCTTGTTGCTATGCAGGTGTTAGCCACAATGCTTGCCAAAACCACGATCTTTCGCGCTTCTTTCAACGTACCCAGCCGTCAGTCTGCCGACAATCCTGGTTCCGGCAATAGTTGCATGGCAAATGGGAATGACGTCCTGAAGTTCGGCTTCGAAGACACTTTTGGGCCACCGTCAGTACTGCGAATTTTGCCATTCTTTGCCCGGCGCTCGCCATAATATATGCGCACCTGTAAAAGTTCTCGCTCGCGCCGACTGCGACAATCGCATATGCGTTTGTGAGGGTGGAAAAGACACCGACTTCGTTTGAGTTTTCGAATTGCGCGCGAACAGCCATGGTTGCTGGTTTCTCTGTAGAGCTTGTTCGCGAAGGCGGTGGGAAGGTAGGGGGAAGTAAGGGAGCACGGAAAGTAGTTGGGGTGTGCTGTGGTCGAGGTTTGGAGTGCTTGCTGCAGAAACTGTGAAGAAGGCGAGACTATTTTGTAGAGAGGCGACATCATAAGCCCCGCTACTTGATTGGGCCTAGTGCGGCGGGCGCTATTTCGACTCATCCTGACTGAACCTCGCGAGGGTCTCAGATCGCCGCCTTAGGCAATGTATGACTCTACGCTCCCAAGAGTCATCCACACAGCCACCTCTCGCGGCGAATGTGAGATGGCTGTGCATTACGCAAGACTCGACATTCGCTACGAAGCAGCTCGTTTCAGTCAAGCAAGTTGGCTGCATGCCTATCCAGATAGTGGAAGAACTACAAGACAATGCTCTCAGAAAAAACCCAAGAATGACTATACTGCTTTAAACAAACACTGCAGCATTCTTGCTAATATCTCTAGCATCGCAGCTATATTAAGAGTAGCTATAAGTGGTTGAACAGCGCATAGACTGAATGTTCCTTAACTCAAAACGAGCCCCAGCAAACCGTGTGAAATGCCCGTCCAAGCGCCCGGGGAAATGGCCCCAAAGCACATGCACATGGGAAAAGCAAAATGCCAATACACCGGGGGACGGACGGGGGGGGGGAGGGGGGCTGCATTCATTCCAGAAGCCCCTCGGAAGCCATCTGTCACTTTCATTTTTGGACAAACAAACTAGGAGGGGTCCGTCTGACGTCCGTCCCGCCATTCTGCTCGCCAAGACGACTGCTGGTTTGGGTTTGGACTTACCCCAGTATGCATCACGGTGACATGCGTCATTAACCATATGATCAGCATACCCGCCCGCCTCTAATCGTGATCTCATTGCGGGCGGGCTCGGAGCGTGCGCGTTCGCATTACCAAGCTCATCAACGTCGTGTAGCTGTAATATTACTAGGGACCAACGCACGGTTATGCGCCCTGCGACACATTCACACTTGCACTTGCACTTGACCAGCAGAGCCATCCCTGCCTCACATCATCAAGCCCGCCCAGGGCAAAAGACATAGATAGACGAGTGGACCACGATGAAACACACAAAGATGATGGTATTCTGCCATGGCTGCACTAGCAATGTCCGACAAAACAAATGGGTAATACGCTTACGAAGAGCACAAGAAGCTCCAGACAGGAGGAACGCCCGCTAAACCGCAAGATGCCGCACTCGAAATCGCTTCCACAACTAAAGAAGGTAGGTGTAATAATAAATAAAAGTACAGCTGTACCAGAAAGTGTTCACACACGGGCCGCACCCTCGCAGCGACTTGAAGAGAAAATGTCGAGCAGAGGGCTTGTGTCGTTGGACGCGGCCGGTAAAACATTAACGTGTACAATGGGGGCATAAGTATGTTCGTAAGGGGGGTCGTTATGTAAAAGCACACGGGCGACAACGCATGTACGTAGCCAAAGAAGAGGCCTTTTGCTGCAGACACATTGTTGGCTGAAACAATTGTCGGACACGCCCAAGTGGGTGTCACTTATGGCATCCGCGACGCGAGAATGGCCAGCGCGATAATGACGCCAATGAGAAGCGTTCCGACTCCAGACATGACGCGATTGAGGTTGCGCCACCAGGTTGCTTTTTGGAAGGCCTTGTCGTCAATGTGCCCCATGCTCTGGGCAAAGTGCTGTTCCAAATCCACCTGGTTGGAATCGCCCTCGTTGGACTCGGCACTAACCATATGGCTGGGATCCGGAGGCAGGGAAAGGAACGAGGCAACCATCCACGCTGAACATGGCCAGTCAGTACAATTGCAAGTATTAGAGCCGCAGCGAACACTTACCAAAAGGGCAGAGAAATCCCAAGCAGAAGAGTAGGATTTGTCGATTTTGACGCCCAAGAAGTGTCAGGTGGATATCGTCATCTAGCGAAGGTGCGTTCCATGCGCTGTAACGTGTCTGTCCTCTGCGGTCGGTTCGGAGATGCGGCGTCGAGTATTCTCTTAGTTGATACATTTGGCGGACATTGATGGTATGCACTGCGCCATCAATTGACTGTGCATCCTCGGCCAGAGAGACGGTATCGGCTGTGGAAGCAGCTCGGTTGCGTGGACGATTTCGTGGGCGGTAGATGTTGGGTGGGTAGTTGGTCTCAGAAGGCGTTCGTGACCGGCCTCCCTGTGATACTTCTTGTACTATGCTTTCGGCATACTCGGACTCTGGAGCACCCCCTGAGATGCGCCCACCCTGCTGGTAGTATACCCTGGCCCATGCGGGAATGGTGCTGGCAATGAAGGTGGACACGCTCGAGTGCGACGATCCGGGTCGAGAGTCGTTGGCGGACAGCGTCTCGATGCTGTTGGACCTGTGCAGATAGCCAGAAGCCTTCATCCGCAGCGGAACGGACGACGGCAACGGTGAGATGGTGTCGAGATGTTCACTGTTGTTGTCATCGAGCGAGCCCTTGGAGCCATGCGGAGCGGGCGAGAAGAGCGGTCGTGGAACTGCGGAGGACTCGGAATGGTCCGACGTCGATTGTGCGCTCGAGACTGTCTGTCGTCGCGGCCGCGAGAGGCTCCGTCGTGTGTTGCCGCCAAAGCTTTCTTGTGAATGCGACCTTGCGCCAAACGAGCGAGAGCCTCGTGCCGTGGAGCGCGAGTCGCGCTCGGATGCTGAAGGAATCGTCGATAGCTGGGAACTCCATTGGTGTACCAAGGACCGGTCCTGCATCCGGGACAGGATGTTGGGTGGGTTGTGGGACTCAGCCCGTAGGTTGTTGAACGAGGGCGCGCGGGCAAGAGGGTAATTAATTCGGATGCCGCTCGCGAAGGTGGTGGATGTACTGGCTTCATTAAGACCGGGTGCTGTAGTTGGCTCGATGCTGGTGTAGGAAATATCAGAGAATGTGATTGACTCTGTGCTTTGCTGAGACTTCAACACAGGCTGTCGACGGTCAGCGTCGGGGGCGTGTGCAGGACGGCCTGCTTCGGGATCGGACGACGAGGCGGCGTGTTCGTCTTGTGGTAGCGGTCCCTGGACACTGAGACGCGACGGGTTTCTAACGTGGCTAGAAGAAGATGGCTGTGCTGCATGGATGGTTGATGCAAAGGACGCGGCAGAGGCCTTGGGTGTCAATGCACGGGTGCGACTCTCTAACGATTCGCCGCCAGAAGAGGATGGAGGGACAGCACGGATGGTTGGACGGCGGGCGGGCGGCGCCTCGTCTGGTATGACTTCCTCAAGTACGTCGGGTACATTTTCCTCGTCTAGCTCTGGCGGGGGTGACGATGGCGTAGTGCTGTCCTGTGAAAATCTTAAAGATGACGGCGTGAATGAGGATGCGATGAGCGTGTCTTCCTCTGACAGGCTAGTGTTATTAGAGTGTCTGGTTGCTTTTTTCCGCGACAGGATTGGCTGTGGAGTCGGCGTTTGGCTTGCCTCGAACTTTGCAACGACATTGGCGACTTTTCCGTCACTTGAAACCCAAGATCCTGGTCGCTCAGGCTTCTCGAGCCTCTCGAGCCTCTCAAGCCTCTCGGACCGCTCTGGACGCTCGAACCCATAACCCAGCGCATGACGGGGTGGAGACAGTATCTGCGAGGGTTCGCTGGGTACGGGGTATTTTTGATAGATGTCATCGGCGGACTCCTGGACTAGCCGGATCGTGGGACTCGAGTGCTGATTGGCGTGCGAGTTTGAGCGTTCGTGGAGCGGTTTTCGGACAGGAGACGAGTCTTTTGCTGGCGACTTTGGGGGCGAAAACCTGGGGCCTTGTGGAATTGATGATGATGATGATGATGTTTGGGTTGGCGTTTTGGCGCGACGGTCTGGCGAGGACATGCTGCTGCTGCGGCGGCGGCGGCGGCGGCGGCGAGGGCGGCAGCGACAGCGGCGCAGGCGTTGTGCGTGGACCGGTGGGTCGGATGGCCAAAACAGAGGGATGCAGACGCGGGGAGAAGTCGAAACCGATCATTAATGATATGAATGGGATAGTAAACGATTGTGTATGCAACGACGGACGGGGCGGACGGGTGGACGGCAGGGCTGTCAAAAGAGTGACTGGGGGCTAAAACATGTCAAAAACAACAAAAAAGAATGGCGGCCCGTAGGCAAAAGGCGCAAAGGCGGAGGAGAGGGGTTGGTGAAAGAGTGACTGGAGAAGGAGGAGAGGGAGGAGGAGCGGCGCCCGCAGAAGACGAGCGTTGGCAGGCCTAAAGAGGGTTCGTGGCTGGATGCAGGCAGATGCAGGTTCGCGCTGCAGGTTGCATCCGGTTGACAACTCAGCCCCGGTAAGTAACGACCAGGCACGAGCACGAGCACGAGCCGTCGACGCTCTGCCGCTCACCAAGTCGGCGTGCACCTTGTGCGCGGCGAGGAAGCACTGCAATGCGCAATGCGCAGCGGGCGAGCGGGCGGCGGGGCTAGCGCTTGGTATGTTGTGTGTGCGCGTTGGCGACGGTGATGATGTTGCGCGACGAGGCTGGCCGCGCCGCCGGGTGGTGGGCGTGACGGGGAAAGCCAGGAACCCTCGCCCAAACGGGGCTTTGTGGGCGCGATGGCAGCGCGACGCGAGTCGACGGGGTCAAATTTGGGCAATTAGCACCGGAGCAGCCAGTGACAAGCCCGGGGACGGCCTGGCCTCGGCAGCCGTGGGCCAGGGGGAGGGTGATAATATGCGCGCTGTATAAGAGCCAACCTGACGCCGTTTCAGGTGACGCGCCTGGCTGCGCTTCCTGACTCGCCGCGCCGTGAGCGTGAGAATGGCGGTGGGCGGGTGAATAACGGCGGGCACGTGACTGGCGGCGGGCGGCGATGACTAAACGACGCTCACGTGACTATCCGGAGCACGTGACTGGCGGCGGCGGGTTGGGGCGGGCGGGCGGGCGGTGTGGCGATTATCGATATCGACAGAACAATGCTTGTGCTGGCGCAACGACAACAATATCAACAATAATAGCTGTTCGCTCGGCTTCGCGACAGCACTGGCAGCGCGGGCGAGGGACTGCCGCCGGTTATAGCACGCCCGCCGCCTTCGCTCCCTGCCGACACCCATTCTTCTTCGGTTCGCGCTGCTCAGCGCCTTCTTTTTCGTCACATCGCAGCTTATCATCATGGTTCCTCCCCCCGCCGGCTGGCGCCATCGTTTCAGTGCTCTCCAGGCCGTGTACGAGAGACACGTCAAAGGCGGCAAGTCGCCATCCATTGGCTCTCGACTCCCTCTTCCTCTTGACGCCCGCTCTAACCCGCCCCCAGTCCCACAGCCGCCGCTCCTCTCTGCCAAGGCCGCCGCCCTTCTGTCGGTACGTTTCACTACCACGACTACCACCACCACACCCACGGCTCTCACCCTATGATGCTGCGCCCCTCGCAACTTGCTGCAACCACGACGGCTGACGCGTGCACCCCCAGGCTGCCTACGTCTTCACCTATGTAATTCCCTTCTACCTGTCGTCAGCGACCCGTCCGTCGCCCACACTCACGCGCGATGCTCCCTCGTCGATACGCGCCAGAGTCCGCGCCGTGACCTTGTCCACCCTTCTGTGCTGTGTCCTCACCGTCGTCGTGCTCCATCAACATGAGGCATCCTTCTCGCAGATCGTCAGCCTGCTCGGCCTGTGGCCCGTGTCGCCCCTCGACACCATCCGCACAATGCTTCTGGTCATGATACTCTTTGCTGGGCCTCTGTTCGAGCACGGCATCGTAGATGGAGAGTGGCGAGAGTGGATACAGCTACACGGCCTGCGCGAGTCGTTGAGCAGCTGGATCGGGTACAGGAACTTTGTAGTCGTAGGTTCCCCCAAAAAAGCACTGTAGCCCACCTAACATGACTAGGGTCCCATCAGTGAGGAGCTAGTCTGGCGCTCCTTTATCGTTCCTCTCCACGTTCTGGCCCACTTCTCTGGCAAGCAGATCGTCTTCCTGACTCCCCTGTACTTTGGCATCGCCCATGTCCACCACCTGTACGAGTTCCGCATCACCCACCGTGAGGTTCCACTAGTTGTGGCCATTGCTCGCTCGCTCTTCCAGTTCACCTACACTTCGCTCTTTGGATTCTTCGCCGCCTTTGTCTTCATCCGCACCGGCAATGTCTACACATGTGTCCTGGCACATGCCTTTTGCAACTGGATGGGGCTTCCTCGCTTCTACGGTCGCGTGGGCGTCGAGGCCGGCGTACCCATAGGGCCCCCAGACATTGACAAAAAAGACGACGATCAAAAGGGCAGGCCAGTGTATCAAGGAAAAGGCATCGGGTGGACTGTGGCCTACTACCTCATATTGGTGGCTGGTGCTGTGGGCTTTTACTATCAGCTCTTTCCACTGACCGAGAGCAGCCATGCTCTACCTGTGACGTTGACCAAGACTTAATCCATCAGCCTTGTTGGGTATTGCGACAAACGAATCTAGAACCGACATGATCATGTATACACCATGTGTGGCTCATCTATGCAGTTTGTACGAGAGCCTCATCCGGGCCTCGCAATAGCCCACCAGTTGTCCTTTTCGTACCCAGACTCGAGTACAACGCCGCCCGCCTGCTCGATATCACTCTCAAGCTCGCCTTTCCGGTACAAATGATAATACCTCAAGAACGTCTTGTCCCCCTCGACTTTCTTCTGGTCTTCGCTCCCGTCTCCATCAACCTTGTTCTTTTTCCGCTTTGCTTCTTTCTCCTTCTTCTGCTTCAGCACCCACGGCACCATGACGTCCTGCTCATGCCCCTCGTCCCACCCACGCCTGCTGTCCTTCTGCTCCAGCGCCCACACATAGATGAGCGCCTTGCCTCCCGCTGTGCCAGGCTTAGTCTCACCTGCATGGTCCGACAAAGGTCGTTGCAAGAGATCCAAAACACACTTGACAGCTTCGACTCTCCGTGCTGGTGTTGACAGATGATGCACAACGGCAATGGAAATGGCAAAATCAAAGACACCACTGGGATGCGGTAGAGACAAGTTATCTGCCACTACGACATCGTGCGGTTCATGTTGCCTTGCGATTTTGACGAGGTTGGTGGATCTGAGTGTGCTTAGTTTGCGGCAAAGAAGAAATCAACAAGTGTAAGGAAAAGGAATCCACATGTTTGAGAATGACCAGTTTCAAAAAAAAATGTACGCGCGTATGAGACGGTCTGGGAAGAAGAAAAGAGTAAATCGAGTAATGCCAACTGTTACAATATGTGCAAACGAATCAAGCACACACGGAGAGAGAGAGAGAAAACTTACCGATCACTCCCCACAATCCACACCTTGTTATTTACACCCAGATACTTCCCATTGCCACACCCTACATCTGCGCCAATCGCCCCATCCCGCTGTTCCTTGAGAAACCGCTCTACTATTGGCCAGGGCTATACAAACCACAAACCTTGTATCAGTACAATCCGAGTAATTCCACACTACAATAATTACACTGTATAAATGAAGAATATGAGCGAGATGGGAGAATAATAGGGATAAGTGATAAGGGAAAAGGAAAAGGGAAAAGGAAACGCACACCTTATACCGCGTTGATGAGAAATGCGCTGCGATTTCTTCATATACTGAGTGTACGTGCTGAACTTCATACGATGATGCTGCTTCCCCTACTCCTTCTACCGCGTCACTACCATTCTGCGCCATCGTCCTTGTCGTCGTCGTCGTCGTAGCCAGTAGTAATACCTAGATTGCAAAGTCCGCGACAAAAATCCGGTGTTGAGTCTACGGGGAGAGAGAATGGATATGTTACGGCATTGGTATTAGCACTGGTATTAGCACTGGTATTAGCATTGGTATGCTGTGTTGAGAGAGTGTGAGCGAGAGAGAGAGAGCGAAAAGAGGAAATGACTGGATTTCGGGCGTGCGCCAATGAGAACGTGTGGGATTTGGTCGTGTGCCAAGACACTGCTTATCCTTTTTTTTGCCTACTTACTAAACCTACTTACCTACCTACCTACCTACTCCCTACTTTACATTCTTTTTTTTCTCTTTCCCCGCCCTATTCTTTCTTTTCCATGGTTCATTGCCGTTCGGGGGGGGATATGAGTAATTTTTTTTACGTTGAGGAGCGAGACTCAAAGAGAGACGCAGGGCCCAGCGTTCATTTTTCATTTTTTTTTTCAAATGAGTTTCTATTTCCGTTTCTGGGGTTTCTTGATTGTATTTGCTTTTTTTTCTCTGTGGGAGACGGAATAGGACTTGCCTGTTTGGGTATGTGTTGAATTATTGGTCTTGGAATTTATTTTTGCTTTTTTCTTCTTCTTTGGGTTTCTTTTTTCTTTCTTCTTCTACTATCCTAGCCACACACTCTTTTTTTTTCTTCTAATGTAGTTGTAGCTTTCTCGCATCGAAGGGGGGGGGGGCTGGAGTAATGGTGGATGCGGATGGATACATACAACGAAGAAAGGAGCATTTATGTTCAATGCGGCGACTTTTGTTGAAGTTGATTTGGAAATTTTGTGGATATCATTTGCCAATGGCATCGTTTGGAAATGGATAGAGTTGGCAAGTCTTTGGCAATGCGACTCCGCTTTGGTTGAGCATTTCGAACCGTAGACTTACGTCTCTCTTATACATTGCTGGTTGTACATAGATGCCGCAGTCGCTGCAATACTTGTAGTTACAGACCGAGCCGAACCAGCCGTGGTCCATGTATCCGGTGCGGAAATGCGAGTAGTAGTAGTAGTAGATGCGGGTGTAGAATTATCTCTGGTCGTGGATACCAGCCTACAAGAATATGGTTTGCCGTGTTAGACTGTCCCACCGACTCCGGATATGGCAAAGAAATGTTTTGCCCTCTCGCCCAACCCTCGATAGTGTGACAACCAGACTAGCTCCTGTCTGTGCCTTGATGCGAGCAGTGTCAGCCGTGCTGTCCTTTGAGTAGATTGTGATGACGGCATCTGAAAGGGCGGGCATGCTCTTTAAATTGCTGATAAGTCTGGTCACTTCGTCCATGAGCTCCTTGTACATGCCCAGTACAATTTCCAAAGGTATTCGTGGTGCGTAGGCTTGGTCAAGAGAGACGGGGCTGTGAATCTCGTGCTTCTCGGTAAAATTCAGCATGCTAGACGTTACCCAGAGCGAGGCTATACTGAATCCAAGCGGGTACTTCTAATATGTACTGTTTTGTGAGTTGGATAGTACAAATGGCCCATTAGTATGCACATAGGTGCTATTAGATGTTCGGGCGTTGGGCAATTGGGTATGCAGCATATGAGCACGATTCCAACCGCTAATGCACATTATTGCAAGCAAAAAGCAGCAGATCCGGTATATATTTGTGTGCGAGGGCGGGTCAAGAGCGGATATCTCTTACTGTAATCGTGACCAGGACAGGCAGATTATGGAAATACAAGATTGCCCGCAAGAATTACATTGCCGACAGATACACAGAGCACACGAAGGCGGCAACGAGCGCGGTTCCCTTTGTCATTGATCTCCAGGACCGTTGAATATATCACCATCTAAAACACGGGCGCAATGCGGCCAGAACGGAGACAGCGAGCTGATTCAAGTAGAGGCACCGTGGATAGTGCATGTTGCGCTCCACAAGCAGATGCCTTGCGCTGAGCAGCGAGACACTGGCGCACACTAGCCACACGAACCGTCGCTGGGCACGAGTAACTTCGTTGGCTGCATTGCGGCGACCGCTAATTGACTCGGAGGGGAATTTCCTACGATAGGCATCTGGATAGACGTCTGATATCACGGCCATGGAGGGAATGGCTACGGTCGCCGGCGAAGCGTGAGAGAGCGATGGCTGCGGGCATCGCGAAGTGACATTCGAGATGTCAAGTGTCAGGGTGGGCTTGGCTGGATCAGCGCATTTGACTGGCGTGTCGTAGAGGCGCGCGGCAGGATCCAAGTGAATGCGTATGACAATGCCACAGCAGCGGGAGCTGAAGAGCAGTGGATGGGCAAATGTGTTCCTGCGGCCCCGCCTACTAGATTTAAGCTATGGACCGTGCACATGGCGCCAACGGCTCACGGCTAACGGCTCAAACCTAACCCACATCCGCTACTCTCTTTGACGCACATATGCGGCCCATGACTAGCCACGGATGACACACATACTACACACGGCCCGAAGCAGTGCAAAGACAGCGAATAGGGCCAACGCAAGACTACGGGTAGCAAAGGGGAATATCGTATTCTTCTCACATAAACGCTGCTACGCAATAAAAAGCAAATAAATAATACAACCATGCCGGGCATATCCCTACACGCCCTGCACCTTGCGATAGCTCGGCGGCTTCAGCCTCCTCCCCAGCAGCTTCGCTGCATACGGCGGCACCAAACTGATCGCCGCAATCACGGCAAACCTCCACCAAAATGCCATGCTGGCCACATACCCCAGGTCGAAATATTCATCCAGTAACGGCACCGAGCCAAAGTAAATACCAGCTGTGCCGACAATACTAGCAATCATGATCCAATGCCACGTTGTGACTTCCATAGCCACCATGACCAGCTCGTTGACGACGAGGACCGAGAAGGAGACAGACACCATCTTGAGAAACGTTGGGTCCGGTGTTTCGCCCGCACTTGTAGATCGTCCAACGCCAATGAGAAGTTGGCTGCAGCCTTGGATGATGGAGCCCTGGTAGACGGAGACGGCAACCCAGATGAAGAACGACTTGTACGACAGCGAGCGCCCTGTCTTGAGTTCAGCGTAGAGCTCGGGGTACAGGTTTGCGACGCTCTCGTCCACGTCGCGGTCCAGGACAAGAGAGAAAACAGGCATCATCGTGTAAATGGTCGAGTAGCCGACCAAGAGATAGTCTCGGTACAGCGCGTTGGGCTCAAATTTGCTGGCAATGGAAAAGACGGTCTGGCAAATGGAAATGATGAGACCGCGATGAATGACAAACTGAGACAGTTTGGCGGATCGCTTGTACGAGTTGCGGCCGTGCCAGACGAGCAGCTTGACCAGGTAGCAGAATTGCTCAATGGAAAAGTCGGCGGCGAGAGATGCCTGGCGACCTTCTTTTCCGACAATGCCAACACCAACATCGGCGGCCTGGATCATCGACACATCGTTACCGCCGTCGCCGATGCAGCACACGCGCTTCTTGGTGAATTCGCGAATCAGGCGGGCAACGTCCGCTTTTTGAGTCGGAGAGCATCGGCATGCGACGACTGTGGGCAGCTGTACAGCCACGGTTATGAACTCTTGCCGAAAGTGCTGGAGGAACAGAGCAAGGGACTCGCCGTCAATGAGTAGACAAGCATCAAGCTTTCCACGAAGAAAGTCGAGAGACGAGGAGGCTAGGTCTTTGCGTTTCAGCTTGGCGATTGTATGCACGTATTGGCCACGCGCTACGAGCTTGGAGCTGACGGCTACACAGCGGGCGGTTTCGACTTTGTCGCCTGTCAACATCCAAATCTTAATACCTGCGTTGCGCAGAAGTTCGAGCGAAGGCTTGACGTCCTTTTGTAGTTTGTCCTCAACGCCAGTAACGCCAAGCAGCTCCAAGTCATGTTCCAGGTATTCTTTGACAACTCCAGCTACCGAAGCGTCGCGGTTGCTAAGGGCGAGGGAGGCTTGCGCATGCTTGGTGATGAAGTCCTGGTACGTTTGAGCCGAGAGCCTTTTGCGGCCGACGACTAGAGTGCGGAGACCTTCACGCGCCATGTTCGCCGTCTCTTCGTCCAGCCAATCGTTGGCGGCTACAATGGATGTCATGACGGTATCTGCACCCTTTTGGTAGAACCAAATCTCGCCATCATCGTCGGTGGGCGATGAAACAGGGCCGTGATAGAACTTGACAACAATGCCCATGCGCTTGCCTTCGGATGTGAATGGAAACACGTTCAAGATGCGAACCTTGACAACAGTGCTTCCACTGTGGCATGAAAGGAGAGTCATAGATTCACGGTCCCGGGAAAGAAGTTTCAGACCGACTGCCTCGGTCCAACGTACAATGGCGATTTCGTCGGGTGAAGATGCTTGGTATGTAGTCACCTCCTCGCCGTTCTCTTCTTCTGTTGTTGGTGTTACATTATGACATAGCGCCAGTGCTAGCACCACATCGCGCACTCGCGAACCAATCTCTCTGCGGGTACGCGTGGCCGAGGTGAGAGGGGCCGTGTAAGCGGACGAGGGCGTGACGAGCGAGGGAGCCTCTCCAGCGGGAGGTGTGAAGCATTGGCGGACGTATGATGATACCTCGTCCATAGCCTCGTTTGCATAAGACACCGTACCGACATGGATCTTCTTCATTATCATCTCTGTGAATTGTCAGCGATGCCGAGCTAGGGGTACTTGTATCCTATACCGTTTTGTGTTAGAGTGCCTGTCTTGTCGCTCAACAAGTATTCTATCCGACCCAAGTCTTCTGGGATAGTGCTTGTCCGGACAATGGTTCCTTTTATGGTCTCGTCGTGATGAATGAACCAAGCGTACACAGACTTTCCCATGTCGAGATTGACGCGCAAACCCACAGGAACAATGGTCGAGAATAGAATGAGAAATCGCAGCATGGAAGCCCACCACTCGCGGCCTTGAATTTCTTGGAACCGTGCGAGCGCTACGAGGATGAAGGATAATGACAGCGTGAAGATACATAGCCATTTTGTGAGAGAGTTGATTTCCAGTTCCAAGAGACCAGTTTTGGACCTTGAAGGCGAAGTGGACAGCGCCTGGCGCGTTTGTGGTCCGGTATACACCACGACAGCAAGAAGACTGCAGCTAGAGGCCACAACCGTGTTTGCCCAGATGGTGTTGTCAATGCTGAGAGGAGCAGACTTGGTTTCTTCCGAAGAAGAGGCCTCTTCGCCGTCATGGGGGTCGTATTGTCGCTGACTCTTGGGTAGCAATTCCACAGTTCCATAAAACTCATTTACCTTTTTGTCTGGTTTCCCGGCGACGACCCGCAGTCGGGTATACTCTCCAACGTCCAGATTTTGCGTCAATGGCGAAGTCAGACGCAGCTTCCAGTCGGTTTCTCCATCGAGTTGGTCGGTCCTGATAAAGGCTTCACCTGAAGTCCCGGTCGCTGCGACGTCATCAACCTTTGCTGCATCTGCAGACTCGTCACTATCTATCAACGGGAGCGAGAAGCCTTGTGAATCTGCCTTATCCGGTGTAGCAATGCTGCTGTCAGTGGAATAGCTTTTGAGAAGTACCATGTCGGCCGGTACTCTCTGATCCTTGCCAAGCTTAACCACATCACCCACTTTGAGGCTCCGGGAAGGCTTCACAACCTCCCAGTAAGTGCAGGTTGCCAGGCCCTTTCCTGAAAGCTGCTGCTCCTCGTCTCCAATATCTTGCAAGCGCCCTTCTTTCTTGTTCTGTTTTCTCACGCGCTTCTTCCTTTGCGAATTTCTGCCTGGCGCAACACCATTTCCCATACCGTTCTCCTCAAACTTCAGAACCGTGTAGCCCTCCGAGTTTGCTTCCGCATCTCTCCGCCGCCGTGCGATATCGTCCGAGGCCTCCTTTGACAGGGTTATCGTTAAGACAAAGCCAAGTGGGGCGATGTACGTCGAGAGGTAGCCGATTCGTAGGACGGGTATGGCTTGCGACAAGGCCACGAGCAAGAAGTACATGTTGATGAAGAAGGAGAACTCGTTGTACAGGGTGCGTGGGAGGAAGCTCCAGGGCGTGTACTTTGCGTTGGAGACTGCGTTTGCCGGGAATCTCGAAGTTTGAAGCTGGCCGACAGATATGGTGCGCTGTGTGGTGGGGTCATGCTCCTCCTCTGCGCCCGACTCGCCATTGTCGTCTCCTAGCTGTATGGCTGCGTTGTTCTGCCGCGAGAGGAAGCTGGGCAGCCGCATACTCGACCCCAATCTGGACATTGCACTCTGCGATGGCTTGCGTCTTCGCGCGGAACGCTGGGCTGGCAACAGGGGCGATTCGTCCTCGCCAGACTGGCCGTAGCTGCCAGCCGAATTCCTCTTGGATCCTTCACCTTCACCATCGTCCAGCAGTCCCGTCAAGTCATCCTCTTCCGGCTCTTCTCTCCTCTTGCTTGCCCGCAACCTGCCAACTCTCAGATTCCTCAGTGGTATTCTTGCGCCCAGCTCATGGTACGGCCGTCTCTGTTCTTTTAACTGGCGTCGCGGGGGCGTGGCGGCCAACTGTGAGCGAGAGGCCAGCGGATCCAGCTCCTCCAGGTCTAGTTCTAGGTCGGAGTCTGAGTCTGGCGCATTCGGCTGGTGATACTGGTGGGGAGCAGCCATGGCTCATGGGCGGGCGGTGGCGGCGTAGAGGCTAGTGAGAAGGTTTCCGGCTCTATTCTCATGTGCGACGGGCTATGGGGGGTGGTTGTGGCTCTGATGGCTGCCTTCGGGGGTCCGCGGTGTTTCGGGGGTGTCTTGTAAGTGGCACCACGACGCTCAGACGCCCTGTTTCGAGCGCAGACGATGGTTTGGGCAATGGTACTGGGCATCGATCCCTGGCCACATGGACAAGGCGTCGCTATGCCGGGCAAGGCGTTTGTGAATGGCAATGTGCATGCGTTTGGGAGAGGCGCGGGCCTTTGTCGAGGTTGTGGCGCAGACGCGATGGTGGCTTGAGGACAGGGTTGCAGCGGCGGGCCGTTTCCAAAGTCCCCCCCCCAAGGCATGAACAGCTGTCCAGATTGCATCTCACCATCCACCCATCCGACCCAGTCGCATACCATGCGGCCAGATCTCGGCTCTTGCATTTGATTCTTTCCTACCGCCCTGGCCGAGTGTTGTGCCCTTGATCCGGCCTGACGCGCACCGCGACGCTCTTCTGCTTCTATAGAGGTACGTCCCTCGCGACTCTGTGACGTACAAAGGGACGCCGATCGCTCCTGTGGACACCCCACGATTGCGTCTCGGGCGCATCTTGCTTTTCCATCTGCCTCCTTGGAGACCTGCCTGCCCGGTTTCTTTCCTCCGTCAGGTCGCTCGAGTCATTGCTCCGTGCTCCGCAAGGCGTATCCCCTCAATTGCGCATGGTGAGACCCAACATCTACGCACGATTCACGTCTGAGCGACTACATATTGCCCGCGGTGCTGACAGCGTCTACAGTACTTGTAGATACCCCTTTTAGCTACCCAGTAATCGCATAATGGATGAAGACGGCCCCAACTTTTCGTATGCCTACGGTGGCGCGCCTCCCACCCCGTCAAACGCATCGTGGAACCCGGCATTGCGAAGCGAAAAGGAACCCAGTTCACCGCCCAGCACGAAGCTGCAGACACAATCCAAGCCCGAATCACCCTCCGAGGAATCAGAAGAGGAGGATGACGAGGATGAGGAGCAGGACAGCGAAGACGAGGAGCAGATTCCGTCACAGCCCGCCGTAGCTGCGCCACCCGCGCCCGCGTCTGCGCCGTCAAGTACGCCCATAGTGGCTGACCAGAAACCAACCGGCGACTCCCCAGCGCCCGAAGTCACTATAACGGCAGAACAGAGCGCGCAACAACCCCAGGAAGGACCCGCTGGAGATGTGAGTGAGGAGGGTCTTGTAAGCGCGACGCAGGCGCTCAGTATTGAGGAACAGCAACCGGCTCCAGCGGCGGCTGTTGTGGGCGAGAAGGAGGAGGAAGAGAAGCCTGAGGAGGAAGAGAAGCCTGAGGAGGAAGAGAAGCCTGAGGAGGAAGAGAAGCCTGAGGAGGAAGAGAAGCCTGAGGAGGAAGAGAAGCCTGAGGAGGAAGAGAAGCCTGAGGAGGAAGAGAAGCCTGAGGAGGAAGAGAAGCCTGAGGAGGAAGAGAAGCCTGAGGAGGAAGAGAAGCCTGAGGAGGAAGAGAAGCCTGAGGAGGAAGAGAAGCCTGAAGAGGAAGAGAGCGAGGAAGAGAGTTCCGACGGCGAGACGGGACATGAAAAGCAACCGGAGGAGAACTATGAACACCAAGGCGAAAGCACTGCTCTGGAGGATGCTGTGACTGAAAGTGCAAAGGCACCTCTAGTAGCAGACACGGAGGCAGACGAATGGGGTGCATCCGGCGACGATGCTTTTGATCTCGGCGCGAAGCCACAAGAGCCTCCTATGGCCACACCCTCCGCGGAGGCCGTTGGAACGACCGTAGGAGATCAATCCATTGGAAACACCACAGTTGGCGGAAATGCAGGAGCAGAGATCGACTGGGGCAACACAGATGAGCCGGAGGATTTCTTCGGCACTGGCGCCAGTCAAATTGAACCTGCACAGCCCACGGATCAGACGCCAGGTGCCCATGTAGTGCAGACCGAAACAAAGGCCCCAGAGAAGAGCGAGTGGGACTTGGATTTGGATTTGGACGATGACTTCCTACCCGATAAAGAAGATGCACCGGTCTTTGAACTCAGCGACGACGATGGCTTCCTCGACGATGAACCTTCTGCGGCGACACAGCAGCCAGCACAGTCAGGCTCACAAGGGACTGCGAGCCGATATGCGCCTCAGACTACAACACCGCCAGTGGTTCCTACTGCGAGTCCGTATGCTCCGCCAGCACAGTCGATTCCTGCGGCTGCCCCAGCTTATGATGGATTTGGACGGAATTTGGCATACCAGCAACAGCAACAGCCATCTCGGCCTCCACCCGTCAACTCGGCGCAGAGTTTTGCAGATAAAGCCAAAGGTGGCTACGCATCGCCTTACGATCTACCAGAAGACATTGTGACTACTCGAAAGCGCGCGCCCCCTCGGCCAGTAGTCCCAGCTTCGCAGCCCACCCCTCCCCCGCCGCGTGCCAGCAGTGTGTCTTCGAACGGTGGAGCTCCACGGCCTCCTCCTTCGGCAAGCATGTCGGTATCTAGTCTGTCTCCGCCATCCTCAGGCCACTCAATGCACCCACAGATGAGTGGAATTCCACCACCAGCAGCTCCGCCAAAGCCTGCAGTGACAGCAAAATCACCTTCAAGCGACTTCTTTGCAGAGCTACCTGTAACCTCCAAACCACGGCCATCAGGACGTTACACTCCGCAGCCAAATGTAGCCGCCCAACCTCTTGTACAGCAACCTCCTCCACACTTGCCACCCAAAGAGCGCACATCTTCTTTGTCATCTCTAAGGAACGAATTCCACCCTGAAGCGGCCAATGTTGCTACGCCTCCTCCCTTCAGGCAACCCGAGCAGCTGCCCATGTTTCCAAGCCAGCCCTCTGTGCCCACGCGGACGAATAGTCTTCCTGTTCCGGCTCCTCCTACAAGCAGATACTCGCCGGCCCCTCCATCTTCAGCATCAGCAACCACTTCGCGCTATTCTCCTGCGCCACAAGCCGCTCCAGCTGCGAATGCTCGGTACTCGCCTGTTCCTCCGCCACAGGGACAGCCTCATGCCCGGTACTCATCTGAACCACACAACAACTTGGCGCGAACGCCGTCCCAACCATTTGCACCTCGTACATCTAGCCCGCTAGCATTCTCCAGCATGCCCCATCAACACAGCCAAGAATCCGATAATAATACCCACACCCAACCAAATCACCAGATTTCTCTCTCAGCCGATAGTATGCCACGTCCGCCATTCAAGAGTCCATTGGGAGAGGTCAGCGAGATTGAAGAGCAGGAGCCAACGCTAAGCTCAAGACCGCCTACGTCTGGAAGATCCGAAACTCCACCTCGTAGTACCCCCTCTTCAGCAGTGGGCTCTCCACGCAAAAGGGAAAACTATGTGCCAAGATACCAGCCGGCGCAAACGGCTGCTCCAATGCGCTCTCGCTCCCAGTCTCCAACAGCGACTATGAAGCAGCCACCGCGTCTAGTTAACCCAGAGCTAGCTGGGTCTGCTTTTGGTATGATGCCACAAGCTATGACTTATGGCGCACTACAGTCGACATCCAGCACGCTTAACGTAATACCTCAGCGTCGACAGGTGTCTACCAATTACGACTTCATTGCTCCTGACGACGAACGTGTGACTGATCCACTGGAAAGGTGGAAAGGATGTCCCGTCTTCACATGGGGACTAGGTGGTACTGTGGTAACCAGCTTCCCGACGCAAATTCCTCGATATGGAGGCGGCGGATTGGCACCAATGATGAAGAGTAGTCCCGGCGAGGTTCGTGTCCAGAGCATGAAGGAGGTGCTCCCTTTGTCAGACGACATCACCAAGTTCCCTGGCCCGCTAAAGGCCAAGGGTAAGAAGAAGGACGTGTTGGCGTGGCTGGGCCGCAAAATTGAGGCGATGGACGCTCAGTCCAAGGAGCCTGGGCTCGACCTTTCTATGAATGAGGAGGAAATCAAGCGCCTTGAGGACAGAATTTTCCTATGGAAGCTAATGCAGGTTCTTGTTGAACACGATGGTCGACTAGAGGGCACACCTGCCGAAGTTGCTGTCAAGAAGATACTATCGCCTGGCGGGGACGAAGCAGCAGAGGCCGACGGCTCACTCTCGACAATGGCGGATATAGTTGGGCGTTCGCGGTCCAATACTGGAAACATTCAGCCAGAACCGTCCGACTCGCGGGCTCTCGAAACCCTGCAAAGCATGCTTGTTAAAGGTGACCGCGAGAAGGCTGTGTGGCACGCCGTCGACCAGCGACTATGGGGCCATGCCATGCTTTTGTCTTCGACCTTCAACAAAGACATATGGAAGCAGGTTGTTCAAGAGTTTGTTCGCAAAGAGGTCAAGAATGTTGGGCGCAACCACCAGGCATTGGCTGTGTTGTACGAAGTTTTTGCTGGCAACCACGAGGACTGCATTGACGAGTTGGTGCCAGCATCAGCTCGTGCTGGCTTCCAGATGGTGAGCGCGGATGGAGCTGGGGCTACGCAAAACGTACAACAAGGCCTGGATAAGTGGCGCGAGACGATTGCGCTGATTCTCAACAACCGCAGCGAAGGCGATGTGGCGGCACTGTTGTCGCTCGGCAGGCTTCTTGGTCAGTATGGCCGGGTCGAAGCTGCGCATGCCTGCTTCATCTTTGCCCGGTCAGTCATCAAGATGGGTGGTGTCGACGACATTCAGGCTGATCTCGTGCTCATCGGCGCCAATCACCGACAGTTCCCTCTGGAGACGGGTATTGATCTCGAGCCGATTCTTCTAACCGAGGTGTTTGAGTTCGCCATGTCGCTGTCATCACCGACAGGTTCGTACATCCTGCCACATCTGCAAAATTACAAGCTGGTACATGCATACCAGCTAGCCGAAAATGGACACAAGACGGATGCACAGGCATACTGCGACGCCATTGCAGCAGCCATGAAGGCTACAACTCAGATATCGCCGTACTACAACCCCGCCTTCATCGGCAGCCTGGAGGACTTGAGCCAGCGCTTGTCACAGTCTCCCAAGGACGGATCGTCTTCATGGATCTCGAAGCCTAGCATGGATAAGGTGGGAAGTTCGCTGCTCTCCAAGTTCAACAGCTTCATTGCCGGAGATGACGAAGATGGTGCGGCCAACAGGCCAGCCGGGATGGAGTCAGGGCCGTTTGCCAACATTGCTGGCGGGCCCTCAACTCTTACCCCGTCGCAATCAGGCACGGATCTGTATGGTGCCGTGTCTGGCTACGGCATGCCTATGCAGCCAGCACCACCAGCCAACTCAAGATATGCACCCTCTAATGCATTCGCACAAAGGTCATCTTCGGAGCAGCAAAGGTCTCGTTATGAGCCCCAGGGTCGGCCTTCATTGGAGTCCAATGACGGCTTCGGTATGCGAGCGGCGTCTGACTCTTACACGCCCATGACTCCAACGTCGGGCGTGTATAGCCCTCCACAGAACCCATTGAGTCCACCGAGCGGACGCACACAAGCAAAGGCGCTGTCGTACTCGCCACTTCGCCCGGAATACAGCCCTCGTCAGACGTCTTACAGCAGTACGTACATGCCTACGCCTCCGGTTGAAGAATCGCCGTCGGCTTCTGCATTTGGTGGGTACCATCCCCAAGCGAGCTTGGACGGGCCAGCTCAGCCAGCAGCGGAAGAGCAAGCGGGCGGAGCGTCGGCAAACACGTTTGAACCTCCGTCGTACCAACCCTACAATCCCGACGAGGACGACAAGGAGGAAGAAGAGCAGCCCAAGAAGAAGAAGTCCTTCATGGACGATGACGATGATGATGACTTGGCGGCGCGTGCCTCTGCGCTGAAGATCAGCGGCAGCACGAGTTCCAAGTCTGAAGCGGACCGGAAAGCAGACGAGGCCTTTCGCAAAGCAGCTGAGGCGGATGCTCAACGCGACAAGGAGGCTGCGGCTGCGAAGAAAGGAGGGTGGCTTTCTGGGTGGTTCAAGAAGGACCCCAACGCAGGACCTGGACCTATCAAGGCCAAGCTGGGAGAGGAGAGCAGCTTCTACTACGATACTGACCTAAAGAAATGGGTCAACAAGAAGGCCGGGGCAGCAGATGCGGCCAAGCCGGCTGCCACACCTCCGCCACCTCGTTCTGGGCCGCCTGGAGGGGCTAGAAGCACTTCAGGCAGCGCTGCAACGTCGCCGTCGCTGCCGAGTGGGCCTCCCGGTGCAGGATCGTTGCGTGCACCCACATCGAGCCTCCGCGCCTCGTCGCTCCCACCGCCCATGCATGCCATGGGGTCGCGTGCGTCGACACCAGGCATCGCGGAGTCTGACGAAGAAGGGCTTGTTGGACCCAAACCGCCCACGCTGCCGCGGCCCAGCTTTGGAGCAGCTTCCGGACCGCCATCGCGGCCCGGCACGGGTATGAGCACTGCCAGCAGCATTGATGACTTGCTGGGCGCACCGCAGGCAAGGAAGGGCCCAGCAGGCGGGAAGAAGAAGAAGGGTGGACGCTATGTTGATGTTATGGCGGGGAAGTAGAGAGGCAGGCATAGATGGGCGGATGGATGGATGGATGGATGGATGGATGGATGGATGGATGGATGGATGGATGGATGGATGAATGAATAGATAGATGGAGGGAACGGATGTCACGGTATTACGAGAAGCGCATGATTGGAAGACATGATGCACGGAAGACATGATGCGCATGTATGGATTGCATGTATGGATTGCATGCATGGGGCGGTGCCTGCATTAGACGGGGCGCGGCAAAGGCTCCGGGGTTGGATATTTGTGTACAATACTATCTCCTTGTGCTATCTGGACAGTGTGCGCTCGCGCGATAGCATGACAGGCGCCCATGTGTACATGTATGTGGAAGCGTACATGTAGGCGTGAGGGCGGGTGGTGCAGGCCCCCCGCCCTCCACAAAAGATACGAAATAAGCCCGTCGGATCGGATAGCGGAGGTTGGGCATGATAGGCGCAGACGAGGGGCCAGGGCAGAGGACACGCCAAATGCAACCAGCCCACACCCGACGACCACGACCAGCATGGTGATGGCGTGGCCGAGCTGCTTGCACGCCTTATCTCTGGTGCTTGGTACCCTCGAGCCGGTCGCCTTGATGCTCCTTTGCATGCATGTACCGCCATGTCTGTCTGTCTGTATGCGCGCAAGGGCCCGCCGTCGTGGTCGCCGTGGGCCGAACCATGGCATCGTCCCATCCCAACCAGGCCTCTTGGCCGCCGCCACCCCATCGCCGCCTAGTACCAGAATGAGAATACGACGCCCACGGCCTTTTATCTCGCCCGGCTGTGGGGAACGCGAGCCCTCTGCGCACGCGACAATCTTTCCGCATCCTTACATACATATACCTGCCTGCATCCCCCCCCCCCGGCCCGTGGTCTGCTTTGCTTTTCCCACGCCGTGTCCAACCTTGGCAGTCGTCACACCTCATTCGCACCACAGCGACACACGACCATGGCAAAGCGCAGCCTCTCCATCACCCAGAGCAGCGACGACCATGGCGTCCGTCGGCGATCCGTCAACGACCCCGGCGCGGATGCTGCCCTCGCAAAGATGGGCTACCAGTCCGAACTGCCGCGAAACCTGTCCATGCTGAGTGTCCTGGGCATGTCCTTTGCCATCATGGCCGTTCCCTTTGGTCTCAGCACTACCCTCTACATCACCCTCACCGATGGCCAGTCAGTGACGGTGCTCTACGGCTGGATCCTCGTCTCGCTCATCTCGCTCTGCATTGCCGCCTCGCTCGCCGAAATCTGCGCCGTCTACCCCACGGCCGGCGGCGTCTACTACTGGTCTGCCATGCTGTCGACGCGCGAGTGGGCGCCCATTGCTTCCTGGGTCACTGGCTGGCTGACGCTCGTCGGAAACTGGACTGTCACGCTCTCCATCAACTTCTCCGGCGGCCAGCTCATCCTCTCTGCCATTACGCTCTGGGACGAAGACTTTGTGCCGAATCAATGGCAGACGGTCCTCATGTTCTGGGCCGTCATGCTCATCTGCATGGCTGTCAACATCTTTGGCGCAAAGTACCTGGACCTCATCAACAAGATCTGCATCTACTGGACAGCTAGCAGTGTTATCATCATCTTGGTTGTGCTGCTCACCATGGCTGACCAGAAGAGAGATGCAGAGTTTGTTTTTGCGCACTACGACGCGAGCGCAAGTGGATGGTAAGCATCTCTGTGTCACGCACAGTTACAGAAACACGACACTAACTCGCATATTCTAGGCCATCGGGCTGGGCCTTCTTTGTCGGACTCCTACAGGCAGCATACACACTCACTGGCTACGGCATGGTGGCCTCCATGTGCGAAGAAGTCTCCAATCCCGCTCGCGAAGTCCCCAAGGCCATTGTTCTCTCCGTCGCCGCTGCAGGTGTGACCGGCGTCATCTACCTCATCCCCCTTCTCTTCGTCCTGCCCGATGTGAAGACGCTTCTTTCGGTTGCAAACGGACAGCCGATTGGTCTTCTCTTCAAGACTGTGACGGGGAGTGCAGGCGGAGGCTTTGGTCTCCTCTTCCTCATTCTGGGTATCCTCTTCTTTGCCGGCACGGGAGCGCTGACGGCCGCATCACGCTGCACATATGCCTTTGCCCGCGACGGTGCAATCCCTGGATCGCGCCTCTGGGCCAAGGTCGACAAGCGCTTCGACATTCCTCTGTGGGCGCTCGTCCTCTCCACCGTGGTCGACTGCCTTTTGGGCCTCATCTTCTTTGGCTCGTCGGCTGCATTCAACTCGTTTACCGGTGTTGCGACCATTTGCCTCAGCACATCATACGGCATGCCTATCCTCATCTCGATTATCCGTGGCCGAAAGGCAGTCCGCCACTCGTCATTCTCCCTGGGCCGCTTTGGCTACGCAATCAACGTGGCCATGATTGTGTGGATCTGTCTGGCAGTGGTCCTGTTTTGCATGCCCGTAAGCCTGCCCGTCCAGGCGGCGACGATGAACTACGCCAGCGTCGTCTTTGCAGGCTTTGCACTCATCAGCCTCGTGTGGTACTTCATCCGGGGACGCAAGGAGTTCTCGGGCCCACCGGTGCCGAACGATGTGGAGCCAGGCGAGGAGGGGGTTGTTGCGGGGTTGGCCGTCCAGGACAGCAGACAGGATGTCGAGGGCATGGGGGAGAAGGCCGAAGATAGCGGCAAGGCCAAGGGCTATTGAGGAGGGTAAATGTATAAAGCTGTTACCTAATTGTATGTACATTATGTACGCTAAGTATATGTAGCATGCATGTATGTATTTGCGCCCCTGCGCTGGCAGATATGCGCACCTGTTCTGTGTGGTTGCACATGCCTTGCTCCGACATGCACACGTAATCTAAATGGCATCTCTGATCTGCAATGAGGGCAGTAATCTCAGCCTTTACCGTAGATAGACGGCAGAGCTACACAGATGACGCCAAGACCGCCGTTAGGCACGGTTAAAACCGCCGCTAGTGCTTGCGGGGGCATTGCGCGCAGGCGCGGTTCGTCCGTAACGCGCCAAGGGCATCTATTCACTTTCACCCTCTGATGGACCTGGACCTGCTCCTCCCCGGTGGGTCTCATTGCGATGAGGTAAGTCAAGTCACATGTCCATCTCAGACAAAACCCCCCCTCCCCGTCTTGCTACTTAGGTCGAATTGTGGCGCACTCCCGCATTGCACTTGTCCCAACATGAACAGCAGCAACCCGTCTAACATGCGCAGCGCCTGGCGAAACTCTGTCATCGACCTCACAAACGACGCCGACACCGACGATGATAAACCCAAACCCGACCTGCCACCTGCGCCAGGCGCCGCCTCCATGACATCCAGCAGACCCCTATCTGCTGGCTCGCGACCGAGCCTCCCCCTTCCCGCGCCGCAACCCACGACAAACGCGTATCCGTCCCTACCCGCGAGCGCACCGCGAATTGCACAGTTCCCTTACCCGGGCCCTGCGATACGGCCACAGATACAGCCTGGAAGCATGCCCTTGACAAGCGCGACGAGTCAGTCGCATCACAGCGCGGCGCAGAGTAACTACATAGCCGTGCCTGGACACGCCGCCTACCATGGGCCGCCTGAGGCGGAGAGAGCAGCGAAGCGGTTCAAGATCGATCCCAGAGGCCTACCATCGCTTCCGCACCCGGGGGGCGCACCCAGCGCCTTTTCGCACAATACACTGCCCGCGCCACAGGCAGGCATGGGCGTGCTTCGGCCAACACCAAATCCACAAGCGATACCGCCTTCGTTCTACGGCGTGCTGGTTCCGCATGTTGATACTGGGGGTCTCGGAGGCGCTGCTCCGAAGAGCGCCATGAACAGGACTCCGTCAGTCCATCAAATCAGCCAAGCACTGAAGACAACTGGGGAGCCGACGACAGGTGTCCGTAGTCTAGGGGTGGCCAGTCCTCCCCGCCCCTTGTACATTGACCGCAGACCATCGAGCAGTTCGGGCCAGAACATTATGGATGGGCCTGCCATTCGACTAGGGCCTTCGATAGGACCGCCGCGGTACACGGGGGTACTGGAATCACACGTCGCAACTCAACAGCCAGGGCTTGCGCGCCAGGAAGTTCCTAGGGACGGAAGACGGCAGAGCTTTCCAAGCAAGCCAACCATGTCTTCAATACAACAAAGCCGGCCTTCGTCGGCTGGCTTCAATACCACCCGACCAAACTACTTTGCTGGTCCTATTCAAGAGCCACGAGAAGAGGACAAGGATAGTGTCATGTCTGACATCTCGGAGCCTGATCAGGATGCACCACGCAAGTCAACAGGGGGTGGCGTTGCTGGTTATCGTCCGTTGCTTACAACGGCCCCTGTTCCCACAATCGCAACGGCCCCGACGATTAGCACCCCGGTCGTGCAACCCCCAATGGCACCCGCAAGAGGTAGAAGAACCGTAGCAAACCCGTTTGACACGGCACAAGATCATCTCTTGATCTTCCTGAAAGAAGTAAAGCAATTCAAGTGGTCGCAAATTACTGCAGAGTATAACAAAGACATGGCCCACCGCGAGTACCATACTCTCCAGAGCCGCTATTCCTTGGTGCTGAACAAGAGGGACAGATCACAGGACCCACCGACGTTGATCTTACCCCCGCGCTTTGCAGCAGAAGCGAACATTGACTGGCCAAAAGTTCATAACATGACTACATTACCAAGAGGGCCAAGATCACAGTTCTATCAATATACTGTACCCAAGCCTGCTAAACAGCCGCGCCCAGAGCCCGTAGCACCCAAGTCGCTTCCCATTCAGCAGACGACTGAGCATGACTACTCTTCTGGTGGTAAGGCTGCATCTCATCGTGGACGGCCACGCCGCGCCCAACGCATCAACTACACATGGCCCAAGCACCGTAGTAGGACCGACGAGGCATTGGCTGAGAATTGTGCTAACCAGGACATGTTTGGGGATATGTACACTGACGCTATGTCTACACGCTCGGAAACTCCAGAAGAAGACTTGCCGCGGCCTGCCGCAGCTATTGCGGTGGACAACGACCCCGTAGAGGTTGATTTTGACACCGAAGACGCCAGGTTGGGAGTGATGCTGCATGAGAGATCCCGCGGCCCTTTGTCGGAACTGGCACCATACCTGAGTGCATCTCAGCGTGCAGCAATGCAAAATCCACCCGGCTATTGCTGGGACCAGCCTTCGAGCCGCAAATGGCAAGGCCTGCTGCTCCATGTGGATTTTAGCCCGGTTGAAGTCAAGGTGGTGAAAAAGACGATTGCTTCAATGACGGCGTCGAGATCTAGACACAGCACGAGGCGAAGACAGCTTCGCGAACTACTTAAAGACTTTACGGAGCCAAAGATTCTCAAACTTGTTGAAGCTCTCCGGCAGCGTCTTCCTTGTCGAGAGAGAAGCAGCATTCGCGCCTTCATCAAAGATGCGCAGGACGGAAAGATTGCCAATGCCCCGCAAGTGCAAAGACTTTCAGCTGCTCGACCTGAGGTCTCGATGAGTACGATACACAAGCCGTCCACGCTATCGATCTTGCGACAGCGTGAACTCGGATCCCAGTCAAGGAGAGGGTGGCAAACAGCAGCAAAACCACTGACATACCAGGTGAAGAACAGTGTCATGGACACAATGGGGCCATCAGCTTTCTGGATAGGTGCGTCAAGCGACATACACACGGTAGCGTGGGCTCCAGACGGCGAGCGCTTTGCCGCAGGTGCAGTCGCTGTGGACGACCCAGATTCTATGCAGTACAACAGACCCAACAATCTACTCTTTGGTGACACTATTCACGGATCGATACATGAGCTGGCTGAACACTACAAGAAACGCGAGAGGACCCAGACTGGTGCTAATTCCAGCCACGCCATGTTTGCCTCGCAAGACCCCAAGCTTTACACCACTGTCAGCTCCGTCGCCTTTTCGGCTAGCGGCAGGCACATGTATTCGACAAGTTATGACAGGCACGTGGCCATATGGCAGACTGAAGGCGGTTCCGTACAGCCAGTTCTGGGCGCAAAACTCAATGTCAAGGATCAAATCGATATCCTGTCTGTAAACCACTCACATGCTGGCGTCATAGCAACTGCAGCCCGTACTGAGCGAAAGGCCATTCGAGTCTTCAGGATCGACGAAGACAACCCGTCGCAGTTTGCAAAGTCCAACTATCAATCGGCCAAAGCCGTCTCGCGCGTTGATCTGAAAATGTTGCCCACCGCATTGCAATTCGAGCCGCGGTACGGGAGGCTGCTTCTGGCTGGCTTCGGCGCGAATATGAAGGAAACGGGCTTCGACACGACTGGCGATATCTGTCTTTGGGATATCCAGGCCGAGAGCGCTCTCAGTATCCACGGATCCAGCAAGAATATCTTTGACGTTGCATTCAATCCGAATCGTTCCAAGCTGCCAGTCTTTGCGGTTGGCTGTGTGGCAGGTAACAATGCCAATAAAGGAATGCGCTCGTCCGTCAGGCTGTACGACATTAATGAATCCAGCAAGTTCACGTGTCTTTTGGAGTTTGAATGCAAGGCTCTGGATATCAATGACGTCGTCTGGTGCCCGCACGATGAACATCTTGTGGCTGCTGGCTGCACGGATGGCCGTACGTATGTTTGGGATGCTCGATGGCCCAACGACCCGCTGCGTGTTCTTTCGCATGGACAGCCCGTGATGCCACTGCAAGAAGGCATCAAACACGAGATTACCGATACTGGAGTGCGGTTTTTGTCGTGGGGCGAGAACGCAACGAGGCTGTACTCTGGTTCTTCCGACGGCGTGGTCAAGGTATGGGACGTTACAAGAGCCAAGGAGGATACGTTCATCAAGGACCTCATTACCACCGACTCGGGCATCATGGCAGGAGCATTCAACAGAGACTACAGTAAACTTGTTATCGGCGAAGTCAACGGCTCGGTCAATGTGCTCGAGGTGGGCAGATACGATACCTCGCTCAAAGACGCACAGAAGCTACGTTATGTCCCGTACGAGGATGATGAGCAAGACGAATTCCAGGACCACGAGACGGGCGAGATGACGCGACCTGCACCTGAATCAGGTAATGCTGAGGCCCGTCGTCTCCTTGACACAAGCCAGATGCAACTCGCGCCCATGGGCAGCTTGCCGATCCGACAGGCAGTCCAAGGGCCCAACTACGCAGGTCCATTTGACCAGAGCGTGGACGCGCCATTCCTACGCCAGCAAGCCCTGGAATTCCAACTCCATCTCAAAACAGCGCCTGGGCCGCAGTGTGACATCGCAGCTTGCAGGGACAACCTCAATAAGACGACCAGTGAAGATGTCGGCGACTCCGGACGAAGCGCAGACCGCATCCCCGATGAGCTGCGCGTGCAATGGAAGGCCCTCGACACAACCACACGCATTATTCCAGGTAAATCCAAATGCTCGCACTGCGGCCGCCCCGCCCGACCACCCGCAGACTCGACATGCCACGCTCTATGCGAGCGCTGCTCCTTTGCCTGCTTCCGCTGCGGCACCGTCAGCCCCATTGCCCCCGCCACCACAAGACTCATCTGCGACTCGTGCGCAGGCGCCTGGGACATTGGCGCCCTCGGCTACGAATGCATCCGGCAGCCCATCCACCAGCGCCCTGCGCTCGACGTCCCCAGCCTAACTAAATGGGCCAAGGAAATGTATACAGAGCAACTGGAGGCTTTTGATACCGCCTTTGGAGATGAGATTAATGCGCTTTCAGAGTATTATCATGGACTGGCTATTGAGAGGCCTGAGAGTCCGCTGCTTTGATGTACACTTGTCATCTAACGCGATATCTATCTAATAACAGTTTCTCGCCTGTAACTGCAGTGCGTTGTGCTGTGGGGGGGGCTGGGGGGGCTAACGACTCTTCGCTTTCTGGTGACCAAGTAGTGCTGCTGATGGGAGAAGCCAAGGATGAGAAGGAGTGGAAAAGCTTGCATGATAACAACGACTACGACTGATCTGTATGATGCAAGAAAGAGGTGAAAGAGGTGAAAAAGGTGAAAAAGGTGAAGAAGAAGACGAAGCAACCAAAAAAAAAAGCATGATTTTGGAAATTTTGGAAATTTTGAAATTTCATTGTATTATTATTAATCATCTCAACCATTTAACGTGCAGGGTCAGTAAGCTGGGCAGATCAGTAAGCTGGGCACCCCACCAAACTTCGCGCGACGTTCTGCGCAATTGAGCCACAACAACGTATTAAAATAATATAAAATTAAGATATATGGTTTACTATTTAGCTCTGCATGAAGTCCAAGTATGTCCTTCAACGTGACACTTCGTGCACGTTGGCGGCGCGCGCCGACGTCGCTCACTAGCCTGGTTCTGGCTACCCCCCATAAGTAACCTTTCTGCCTCTGCCACAAGCTGCTGAGCCTGCTGCACCTGGAGTACCCCACTAGAAGCAATATATTAACGCTGTTAATCTTGCTTTTGCCGCTGACGCTGGTTCTTTTCACGTAGCTTCTTATTCTCCTCTGCAAGTATCGTTGCTGATTGCATTGTAAGCTGAGCGCTCTTAGCAAGCTGGCGTATCGCAACGCTTGTTGGACTCTCTGGCTGCTGGCGCAGTCGCTCTTGGAGATACCGCACCTGCTGCTGAAGCTCTGCTACTGTATGTGGTGTCTCTGTCTGCGTTGCTGCCTGCGCTGTAGTGTTATTATCTGTGGTTGTCTGTGGTGGAGACGGTGTTCTGGCTACTGTGAGCGACGATAGAACGCGATCTAGACAAGGAGGGACAAGCCCTGTCGCCCGAAAGCCTGCCTGGATATTCTGCTGCGTAAAAATCTTCAGCCGGATCCGTGTATAGGCTGCAAGGAAGTCTATCTTGTCAACGTGGTAGACCCCATGCTGGGCGAGCTCCTCAACCTCGCGTCCGTACGCGCGCTTAAGAGGAGAGTAGCAGCTCACATCTAGAGGCTGGAGGAGGTGCGACGTGTGAGGCGACATACAGA